ATATGTACCTCTTATAATCCTGAGTTCGATGATATGGATGGGAAACCACTAGGTGTAAAGCAGTAAACAAATATTTTTAAAAACTGTACAAAAACGGAAAGCAATAGAATTAAGTACTAAGTTTATTAATGGTCCGTAAAGAAAGGTAGTTGTAAATTAAACATATCTGTCATAAAGTTAAGGAGATGTTAAAACCACACGACTTTGAAAGATATTGTAATATTATGGATAATTCAACTAAAGGAAATGATATGCCTGAGTTACAGGAGTAAAATTAAGATAAAAAGAAATGACTGGTTGGAAACGCATGTCTGGCGTAAAATATTATAAGCCTGGTATCTTTGATGAGCTTTTACAGGAATTTATATCATATACAGTATAATAACACATTAAAAACATTCAAACTTTTAATGTACACTTTTAACACTGAGCAATACCTGTTATCGAAACTACCATTACGTCATCGTACGGGTTTTTCCTGATTTGCACCGTTAAAAATTGAAATTATCGGTGTAGAAGGAACGGTCTATGTGACAGATTTTGATTAAATTTTAGAAGATGAAAAACATAAACTTTAAAATTTCCGTTCTAAAGATTTGTAACATGACATGTTCATTAGTATACTTTATTTTAATGCTGAATTTTTAATTTGTCTGTTGATGAAACAGTTTATATATATATATTCACACCAATGTATGTAATAGTGTTGACATAAAATTTTGTCAGGAGAAACTGTCCTTTGTATCATTAATTACTCTTGCAAATGTTTTATATAAATAAAGATGATTGATGCAAATAAGTTCATTGTTTTAGATCGGTATTTTGTTTTTTCTCTTTTTGTTAGTTGTTGGTTACATTTTTTCGGAAAGGGAGGAGGCTTTCGTACCTTTCCAACTGCTTTTTGCAGTTTTTGTCGAGTGTCGTGTTGTTACACTACTTTCCCAGGTTAGGAAATGATCGAGTGCTGAAAGTTAATTAGATTTAGATAAAACAGTTTTAAAAACATACTAGGATTGTTTTGGAGATTCAGCTATTTAATTTGCTTCTTTATAAAAACAAACACATTATTTCCTGATATCCATTCAGATGGACAAAAGGGAAATTTGTCTAGCTATTACTTGTAGTATTAGATCTTGGAAAGTACAGGGTCTGTAATTCAAAAATTGGAAAGGGGGTAACTTGCATGCATTATTTAATTTTTGGCTCTACCAAAGGACAGGAAATGATAATTTAATGGTGATCGGAGGGATTTCAAGACTTATAAGAAATGTGTATTCTAAATTGTTTATACTGCAAAAAGGCTCTAAAGAACATATATGGCTTACCTGGCATTTTCTAATGAAATTAATACAATGCAATAATAATGTTTCTGATAGTTTCTGATAGTAAAGCAAAAAATATGGAAAAAAATGTCTTCAATGCTTTTAAATTTTTCAATTCAAATAAAGACACAAGATACCAAGGGGACTTTCAAAACTCATCGGTTTTAGAAAAGCTGACAGCGTCATTCCAAAAAACGAAAAACGACTAAAAAGCGAACAAGTCAACAGTCACTACATAGAAAATGTTTAAAAAGAGATAGAGATTGAATAACATGAACTCAACCAAAAACCAGTGTGATCTCATGTGCGCCGGAAGGATAAGCAGTTCCTGCTACGCATGTGACACACATCGTGTTGCTCATGCAAGAACAAATCCGGTAATAAGTCTAATTCGGAGATGTCACCATCAAGGAAAAAAATACGGAATTGTGGGTACGACAAATGGAACATATACGTGGTCATCTGTGACACAGATATTCCATAACGACTCGTGATAACGTCCGTCTTCAACTTTACCAATTTGAACCATTGGTTCAATAGCTTCTTTCTGGTCAGTAACCCTCTATCAAGGAAATCATTATAGGAAACACAAGCTATGGAATATCGTATCAACTAGAATATATATACTTCATATGTAGGCGCTGCTGTAATGTAGTGACATAGAAATAGAAATTGTGCAAATTGAAAGCTGATATCATCCCTTTTTTCGTAAAGTTTTCTCAACCAACCCTAGATGTAAGCCAAGATATAAGGCAGACTCAATGATTTTACACTAGTAATTTTTGGGGCCCTTTATAGCTTACTGTTCGGTGTGAGCCAAGGCTCCGTGTTGAAGACCGTACTGTGACCTATAATGGTTTACTTTTATAAATTTTGACTTGGATGGAGAGTTGTCTCATTGGCACTCATACCACATCTTCTTATATCTATCATCTTTGTTATCCTTTATTTCAAGTTCGACGAAATAGATGCTTTCATTTTGTACTATTTATCGATAGGACATCATCTATAGTTGAAGGATAAAGCTATCTTCCTTTCATTCTTCCTAACAAGCTCCTGTATAAAGTCTGTCTCATATGAATAAAAGTATAAGTCGACAAGTCGAGTAGGACAATAGGTTTCCATGCAAATGCCTATTGTTTTTTTTTTCGAAAAACACGTCATTCAAAGGTAACATATATATTGTTAATAAAATACAAAGCATATAGATGATGTAAATTTCACATATTTTATTGTTTGAATAAGGGAGGTTTCTTTTTGACACATTATGATTTATCCCTTCCTAAAACAATATATTTGTATCTACGTTGACCATTCTTTTTTATGAATCAAAGTTGGACTAGTTCTTATAGTCTTTAAGAGTAGAATTAGGTATACTAGTGTAAATTGTAGGGAAGCCTTTGTTTTTATGCTATTGCAAGAGGAAAGAGACTTAGATTGATAATATCCTATCAGATATTTCGATTTTTAAAGTATCCACATCTGATTTACACCCCCCCCCCCCCCCCCCCCCCCCCTCTTTCTGGAATATGTATTTTCACAGTAAATCTGAAACCCGGCTTTGATTGGTTTTGATTTTGGTTCGTGTCTTCCTTTTTCTTTAGCTAGAAATAGAAAACTTTGTTTTCCTTTTTTGGCGCTGAATTACGTCCCAGTGTATTCTTAAAGCAACATCGTCGTACAATAATTGATCCCGTCGTACATTAAAACTCTATACGAATTACTGTCATACACGAAATTATTTATGATAAAAAAAGTAAAAATTCTTCTTTTCCATCAAATTTTATGCTTCGCAGCAGATTGTGGGTGCTTAGATAAACATTATCTTTGTTTTCCTTTGCAAATACTGTCAAAACTAAGTAGCCGATTTGATGACTTAGTGATTTTTCCTCGAATTTTGAATGCTTTTCTTTAGCGACGATGTGAAAATTACCCGTTAAATTTGGATGCATTGGTATCTGCTCTTGCTACTGTTTCGTATGCCATTAAACCTAAATGCTAAATAAAATGTTTTGCCGTTTTTTTTCTCGATTAACCCGCCCGTGCAAGCGCTGTATAGCCAGTCAAGGTCGTTAAACACTTCCATATATATATTCTCGATTGAACTATTTCACATGTTTTTATATCGGGGATTCATATAGTAACTTTATAGTATTGGTGTTCATCATTGTTAAAAGCACAACAGTTACATATAGTTGCTTACATCCACATCATTTTGTATCTGGTGGACAATTGTATCATGGGCACTCATACCACATCTTCACCTTTTATTTTGTCATCTTTGTGGATGTTTAATTGGGAGAAATCGAACTCCATAGTAAAGTAAGGTGTCACAGAAATGAAAATAAGTCTACATTTTTCTGCTCCTAATATTAACAGCAGAACTCCGTTCTGAAATAAAAAGAAGTAGCTTTATTATATGTAATTTCATTAAGACTGCGGTATTTTCCAAGTTAACACCACATTATTGAAACTTCTTTTTCTTGTCGTCATTTATGCATGTATTTTCAATAACATTATAAACTTTTAAATGTAATTAGAAAAATTGCATCACATTCTTTTATCTACCTCATTAATTTTATTTCATATGTATGATACACATGTATGATTCACAGAACTGAATTATGGCTATTCTTAAAGTCATATGAAACTAGTTTTTTTGTAATTTTAATGTTTTCAAAATTATTCAACCAATGGATATTTATATTTATATATACCAAACCAAGTCCTGTATGCACGTTTTTTATATATGTATTACGAATCTATAACGTATTGTCGACAAATAATATTTCATTCAGTGATTGTTGATAGTTGCCGACGTTTACCGGTCCTGGCATTGATAAACAATCAACACAGAGAAAGGGGAGCACGTGACAAATTGTTCAATTGATAGAGCATTGTTAATTTTTTTTTTTTTAACAATTGTTAAATGATTTGGTGTATTAAATTTGTTCTTTAAGAATAAGTTATCACTATTCACCTGTCAGTGCACAATTGTTTACTACAATTTTCATCACGGTTTCTACTGGCAATTGCGCTGTGCGGTGGCCAAAGTTCTAACGCGAGATCTTGTAGTTAAGGTCACTGCATACGGAAAAAATATATTAGCGAATTAGTGTACGGAAAGACAATAATCCAATGACAGTACATTTATGAAGATTTTGATAATATAAAAGATTTTCTTTTACAAGAAAGTTCACGTTCACTTGTTTTATACTAAAACTTAGAGATTCAAGTATATAAAACATATTCAAGATTTTTTTTAAACTTGAAGTTTTATATGACGTTAACCAAACCATGACAATCTCTTTTTATATTTAGATATTGAATTATTTGCAAGGTGGCGATTTTTTTCAAGATATTTAAAAGCAATTGTAAGTTATAACACTTAATTTGTCACGCACGCAGAAAACAGAACATTTTTTATGTGTGAAAAACCATAACATAAATTTTAAAAATAGCCGTTCCTAAGCGTTAAGTATGTCATATTTTATATCGATACGATTCATAATTTTCATTTACAAACAAAATAGCTATAAACAAGGCTCTTATAAATTATCTTTATAACTTCTTTTAGGAAAAAATCCAAAGTTTACATTTTGTCATTCATGTCCTACTGCACAAAATCTTGACAAAATAACTATACTTTTAAACTCGATATGACGACGTTCCTACCTGTGGAAATAATGGATATCCCGACGTGTACATATCTAATGTCCTATCATTATGAGGACAAATAGTATCGGTATTAAGTTTTTATTAAACAGGTGGTCGTTGTCATAATAGGTAAATAGCCACAATTTTTAACACTTAACCGGCTTTTGCTTTTAAACCATTGTAGTTTTTTCGACCATGACAACATGAGTTTGGTGAATAGTTGAATATTTGATAATAGCAGGATGTAATTATATATTGAATTGATATCGCTTTCAATGGTAAATGGATAAAATGTGGATCTTCACAGTTTTGTGTATTACATTTGTTTATCCATATAGAACTGTGTATGCGGAATGCAATATCACACTAAATATGTTTGGATATAAAGAGGCTTTGTGTAAACATCAAGGATTTACATCGATTCCGGAGGATTTACCACCTGATATAAAGAAATTGGATTTAAGTTACAATAGACTGACCAGACTGGATGACAACGGATTTCATAGATACAAGTATCTAGAAAATCTAATAATTGATAATAATGACATCAGATTGTTGCATACTAAGGCTTTCTGTGGCTTATCGTTATTGAGACATTTGTCTTTGTCTAAAAATTATCTGAATGTATCTGAATCGTACCCTCAGGGAGTGTTTGAGTCTATAAATAATTTATCAGTTTTAGACATTAGTAGAAATATGAAAACTCCAGACTCCAACCTATATAAAATTCCCGTCGGCGGACTCAGTAACTTGCGTGAGCTCAGCATTGATCTTATGTTTAATGCAACGTTTGGACAGCACTTCAAGAAACTGTACAATTTACAAAAGTTAAGTCTTGATTATTGCCACGTAAATTATATTTACAATGAAACATTTTTACAAATGCCGGTGAGTTTAAAGGAATTCCACATGACAACTTGTAAAAACTTTGTTGTCATTGAAGGTGGAGTTTTAGTTCCGTTTCCACATCTTAGAGTACTGAATCTTACTAATAGCAATATTCACTTAACACAAGCCCTTAACATTTTACATCCATTTCAGAACAAAACAATGGATGCACTTCTTTTTCGCGGAATAACTCGTCCAGATTCAAAACATAGCATTGATCCAGTTATTCTTACACCAGAAATGATGAAATATGCATATACTATCTGTATAAAAGCAATTGACTTATCCGAAAATAACATTATATTAGTTAAAAACAAATCGTTAGTTTTGTTTCAACGTCCAGAGTGCTTTGAAAGTGTTATTATATCTGCTAATAGTTTTAGTATGGATGGCTGGGAAGTTGATTTCGTCTTGTTTACGTTCAAGATGATCAACATCAAAATAATAGACTTTTCATATTTCCCATTAGGATTCAAAAATCCAATTTTCCTAAACGTTGTAACAAGGGATAACTTTACAAGAATTGAAGAAGTTCAAGGTAAATGGGCAAGACAGGCTAATACCATGGCAGTATTAGTTCCGAGTCAAATTCAGTTTTTGAGATTAACTCATTTTATGACTGAATTTTCCTTTCTGAAAATAAAGATAAGAAATAGCTCCCTTCGTCATCTTGAAATATCTTACCTTGAAACAGATTTCTTTCCACTTATAACTATGGAAGGATTTAACAGTTTGGATTATTTGGATTTATCAGGTATAAGTTCAGTAAAAACTATTGGAGAGGCGAAAATTCCGCTTTTAATCCATCTAAAAACACTTATCTTGAAAGAAACAAACTTATTTAATGTTTTGCAAACTAATACAACAATATTATTTTTTTGTCCAAATATAATAAATTTGGATGTATCATATAATTATATCTGGAAAATCAGATCGAATTCGATTGGGCGACTTCTTTATCTAAAACAGCTCAATATATCTCATAATTTGTTGGAGACTGTTCCAGATGTGGTTACAACATTTTATAACCTTGTTGAACTCGATTTGTCGCACAATCAATTAACAACAATTGGAAAGAATATACTTGATTGGATTGATACCATGCACAAAAAACATGGAACTTTTGAATTTTATCTTAGTAATAATCCGTTTATTTGTTCGTGTGACACAACGACATTTCTGAGATGGATTTTGACGACACAAGTTACATTAGATGAAAATGGAAATTACTCTTGTTTGGTTTCTTCAAGAAATAGTATCAACTATACAAGAAATGTCGCTGAAAACTTTCATCATTATTTTGTTGACTGTGATACTACCGTCTGGATCAAATTGGGCATTTCATTGTTGGCTACTCTTTTATCGAGTGTGCTGTGTATTGCTCTATTATACAATTTTAAATGGAGGATAATGTTCTTTTTCTTTCGAAATTTCCGAAGGTTTGCTGAGAAAGGTCTAGAGTTAACTTTTGATTATGACGTTTACATTTCATATTCCGATGACTGCGTTACTTTTGTGAAAGAATTGCAAGAGAAGGTAGAGGAGGAATGGGGATTCAAAGTCTGCATTGAAGATAGAGATTTCATTATAGGCGAATCGATTGCTCATGAAAGAGCTACGTCCATTAACAGATGCAGACACATAATATTTCTAGTAACGCCTTCAATTGTTCAAAATGAATGGACTCGTTTTGAAATCGAGAGAGCAAAATATGAAAAGTTTTCAAAAAATCTGCAGAAGATTGTTGTTATTACAAGCGATATCACTCTGGATAATATTCCCGTAGAATTTTCAACAATTTGGAAAGATGTACTTCTTATTCAATGGCCTGTCGAGAAGGATGCAGTCCAAATGGCTTGGCAAAAGCTTCGACTTTGGTTCTTTTGATATAATATAATTTATAAAAGTTATTGCAAACCCAATGAAAGTTTTCCACAGTGCCATCTCTATCTTGACCAGGTATTTAAACTTTTGTAAGTTCACCTGTCCTATTGAATAAATACAATAGCTATTGTTCTCCATGTAGTTTTTTCACTGGGATCTTTAAATTTCTTCTAAGAGAAATCTATCACTCATTGATTAATTTACCTGAGTAAAAAAAAAATCTTGTAAATAGCGGAAAATAGATATAGGAAGATGTGGTATAAGTGCCAATGAGACAACTCTCCATCCGAGTTTTATACTCAAAACTGCATGTGATGTTATATTTATTCAATATTGATAATATATTTTCAATCGGTTGAATGTAAACAGTGATGCAAAGTTGAAACATTAATAAAATATAAAAAAGAAGATGTGGTGTGATTGCCAATGAGACAACTCTTCACAAGAGACCAAATTTATGTACAAAAAATGAATGAAAAACAAATATGTTATACATAAACAAACGACAACCACTGAATTACAGGCTCCTGACTTGGGACAGGCACATACATACAGAATGTGGCAGGGTTAAACATGTTAGCATTGATGTATGTTATATTAATAATATATTAATAATATATTTTCATTCAGTTTAATACATGTTTAAACATTGATTCAATCATAAAAAGTTGATTTCTGACAAAACTTTCAACATTGTTCCTTTTAAAAAAAAAATTGTTTGACATGAATAAAAACTTGTAAATTATGATGTTCAAATTAAGATCTTCTTAAATGTATTCTATAACTAGACAACAAAAAATCAAATTTCAATAGGAACATTGATAAAACTTTTGTTTGAAATCAACTTTTTATGATTGAATCAATGTTTATATTAAACTGAATGAAAATATATTATTAATATTGAAAAAATACATCATCACACGCATTTAATGAGTATAAAAAAAGTATTTTTGTCTATATATAAGATTTTTTTTTACTCAGGTAAATTAATCAATGAGTGATAGATTTCTCGTAGCAGAAATTTAAAGATCCCAGTGAAAAAACTACATGGAGAAAAATAGCTATTGTATTCATTCAATAGGACAGGTGAACTTACAAAAGTTTAAATACCTGGTCAAGATAGAGATGGCACTGTGGAAAACTTTCATTGGGTTCGCAATAAAAGCACTCTACAAAATGTATAAGGTACCACACATGATACATTAATTTACGTATGTTTTTTTTTGCATATATCCTTGAATTTCAAAGTGTTACTTTTTGTAGGTTTTATTTTCTTATCCCTTAAGTATGAAAACAAACGCGTTCCACAGTCAACTATTTTGCATCGTTTTACGTATAGTGTATAAATGTGGGAATATGTATTAGAGGATATGTATAATAAATGAGTGTATTCATGCTACAAACTCCAACAGTATATGTTTTGTAAATGTATGTCACTTATCAAATATTTGTTTAATAATTGATAATCTATCAGATTCTCTGTATGCATTGCTTTAATTGGAATTGGTCAATGAAGTGAAACTCTTTTAAAGGTTCTAATTATTCTGCGCTTAAAATTAATTTTGATTACCTAGACACGTAGCAATTTTAGTGAGTTTCTATGTTTGCTCTACCTACCACAGTTCAGTTATGACAAAAGTACGGATATCAGTAGGTTGAAATTGTGTTGCTGTTTTACTTTCATAAGTGATTTTTCTAGGATATAATATATAATTCATTACAAAAGTATGTCTTTACAAGGCTAATTCCCTGTAAGAATTTAAAACTTTTGTTGACTTTTGTAACCAAAACCTTTCTTTCGCTTCGATTTCGACAATGGAAGATCGAAAAACGGTCCCAATACCAAAATATTGGTTTAATTTATTATCGCAAAAAGTTTGTCAGTTGTTTTTCGGTTGTTTCTGGTCGTCATTGTTATAAAATTCTGTTCAGTTCGATTGGAATGAGTTACTCTGGTTTTTTCTTCTTATTGCAAGATAATGGTTACTGTAGTATTTATAAATAATATGGACTGTCTTTTACAGAAAAAGGAAGGACATTTTTTCAATTTGTTAAATACCCAATCTGATTATAAGCAGAGTGAAAGATTTGATTTTAATCGGATTGTTAAATTCCAATACACATAACAATAAAACTATTATGTTGAAACTTTAGATTTTAAAATTGATATAGGTTATTGTGATTAATAAGTAAAATAATAAAAATACCTAACTCCAATGAAATTTCAAAACAGAAAGTCCCTTATCAAATGGCAAGACCATAAGCGCCAACACACCAAACGGATGGAAAAAATCTGTCATATTCCTGACTTGGTACAGGCATATCTTTATGTAGAAAAGGAAAGGCGAAAGATACCAAAGGGACATTAATTCAAACTCATAAGTCGAAAATATACTAACAACACCATGGCAAAAAAAAGAAAAAGGCAAACAGTCAAAAAGTACACAAAACACAACATAGAAAACTAAAGACCGAGCAACACTAACCCCACTAAAGATAATTATTTATCATTTAAACGAACACAGTTAATTTAACTTGATTGAAATTGATTAAGGGCATACGATACAGTAGCAAGGGTAGATAATAATATTGAATCCAAATTTTGACATTTTGTTTTCGCAACGTTGCTAAGCATCCAAAATTCGCTGAAAAACTACAACCTTTATCAAATCGGTTATGTGGATGTGAAAGTATTTTCATTTATATTACACTGCAACGTACTTTAGCGACAACAAAGGGAAACGTAAAATAACAAAAATACCGAACTCCAAGGAAAATTCAAATCGGAAAATCCCGTATAAAATGTCAAAATCAAAAGCTCAAACACATCAAACGATTGGAAAACAACTGTCATATTCCTGACTTGGTACAGGCATTTCCTTATGTAGAAAATGGTGGCTTAAACCTGGTTTTATAGCTAGCTAAACCTCTCACTTGTATGACAGCCGAATAAAATTCCATTATACTGACAACAATGTGTGAACAAAACAAATAGACATAATAGGTAAAAATGTCAAAAATAGGGTATAGCAGTCAACATTGTGTTATAATCTTAATTACTTTAAAAACAAACAAATATGTCAATGGGATCGCTAAAACTGAGAACATGTGCCCCTTTTTTTGCAATCAATTATGCACTGCTTTAAAAATACTGAAATCGCAGTAAAACATCAACAGTAGATTTGCTAACATGGCATTTTTTTAACAAAATTGATATATGCAATGAGAATGTTTCTGATAGTTTCTGGCAATAAAGAAAAATAGGAAATCAATTGTCTTCCAAGGCCAATAACTCATATAAAGAGGCAGAAGATACCAACGGGAAATTCAAAATTCATCGGCTGAAGAAAAATTTACAACGCAATGACTAAAAAAAAAGAAAAAAAACAACGAAAAAACGAAAAAGTCCTCAATCACTTCATATAAACAAAAACCAAAGGCTGAACAACACGAACCCCACTTTAAACCGGTGGTGAACTCAGCTGCACCAGAAGGGTAAGCAGTTCCTGCTCCAGATGTGGCACTCGCCGTGTTGCTCATAAAAATAAAAATCCAATGCCTAGTCTAATTCTGTGATGTCAATATCAAGGGAAAAGGACGGGATTGTGGTTACGATAATGGAAACATATCCGTGTTCATCTGTGACACAGAAATTCAATAACGGTCAACCAAATCGTGATGGCGATTCAAACTTTTGAAAGGACGTCTTCAACTTTACCACTTCGAACCATTGGATCAATATCTTCCATCATGATAGAAAACGCAAACTCTAGAATATCGTATCAACTGGGAGATGTATAGTCCATATACAGGCGTTGATATAATGTTGCTAAATAGCAATGGAAATTTCTCTAATTACAAAGCTGAAATCATCCCTTTCATCGTAAGTTCTGTTCTCAACCGTCCCTAGTATAGATGTAAGTCAAGATATGAGGCAGGCTTAACTGAACTTTGGTATTCTTTATTTCAATCTCGAAGAGATAGATGCGTTGAACATAGTCACCAAACTTTGCTTTAACTATTGATAGGATATCATCCATACTGTGGAACGTGAAAGCTAAGCTTCTAGAGTAAAGGGTAGAAAATCAAATTTGTGTATGCTATTGCAAGAGGAAAGAAACTTAAGATTTTATTTTTTCTAGTATCCATATCTGATTTGCACTGCCCCTTTATTAGTTAGGTAGTTCCACAGTAACGCTGAAACCCTGATTTGACTGCTGATAAAATTTATGTTAATAGTTTGAATGGATATTTCGTGGAGAAACCGACAGACCCAGCAATATGATATTGTGTGTAAGGACACCCATGTAATTTGGGTATCCAGCACTGTGAAGTAAGATAAGATCTCATCTGTGGTTGAAATTCATCAGAAACATAGAATACACCTATTTGTATTCCCGATTTCCTCTTTGGTAAGTATCGTGGGCGTATATGTTGAGTTTCCACGTGAATTGCCAATGCCTAATTTCGTTATTAAGCAGTTTATGTAATGTGATTTACACACAAAAACTTTTTTTCTGGGATTAATCTGCGGGACATGTTTGTCATGAAGAAAAGACATGTATAGAAACGTCTTCTTTTTGCATTTAGCCCGTTGCCTGACAAAATCATCTACTGAATCATCAACTGACAATTTTAGCCATATTGACTTAATATTAGATCTTGTCATAATACTAGTAATCGTTTTGATTATAGTGCATCTCCTATAGTTTCCGCAACAACAACAAATTCACACAAAAGGGTTAAAATCTCATTTCAAGGGCAATTAATGATCTACAATTGTTCCCGAAAAAAAAAAACAGAAAGGCATTAAGATCGTCTTTAATAGCAGTAATTCCTATAAGGAGTCAAAAGACAATTTTGGCAGTGTTGGCTTATTTGTAGATCATCATTTTCGACGTTTAGTTTCTTCTTATCTTCTAGTTACCGTAAAAAAAAATGGTAAAAGTCGCCTGTTATAACTCTTGCCATTCACATTATCTTTCAAAGTTTTAAAGATAACAACCAAAATTGCAAAAACAAATGGTAAACATCATCATTTGAGGGCGATAACTTCTATAAGGAGTTGTCTGACATTTTTGGTGTGTGGTCAAGTTTGGTATCCAGTTTGAAGTTAAAAGTTAACAAACGACAGACTACTGACTGACTGAGAAAGATTATTTATATTGGTATAAAATATTTTTTAAACGTTTCAAAATAAATAAATTCATAAATATAAATGAATGTTTTAAATCTAATCAATTTAAGATGAAATCAAATAACTATATGCAACAAGTGTGCACACGCTGAAATGTCTCGCCTGCTTTACTCAACATGATTGAATTTCTTTACACTATACACCGAATATAGTTATACTAATGCTTATAGCAACTGAGAAACAGACCTAATTACGAAAATAGTATATTGTAAAATGAACTATAAAAACTAGGTCAAAGTCATACGAACCCTACCATGACAGACATGTTCGCCTAACAATCATTCCACGCACCATATGATAATCCATACAACAAAAAATTAACATTGACCAATGAACCATGAAAATGAGGTCAAGATAAGATGAAACCTGAGTCTGACATGTACACCTTACATTTATTCCATACACCAAATATAGTGGACCTATTGCTTATAGTATCTGAGATAGAGACTTGACCAAGAAACTGTAACCTTAATCACTGATCCATGAAATGAGGTCGAGGTCAGTTGAACCTCGTCTGAGGGACATTTAGACCTTGCAAGGAACCCATATACCAAATATAATTCTATTACCCATAATAAGTGAGTATTCACATGACAAAAAAAAACTCAAGCAGTTGCAGAACCATGAAAAAGAGGTCTAGGACAATGGTCATATGTCAGATGGAAAGTTTGTATCATAAAATATCTGCATACAAAGTATGCAGCATCCAAGTATTCTACCTTCTAAAATATAAAGCTTTAAACAAATAGTTTGCACCTTCATCAGATTGTAATCCATGTTTCATAGTCTGTGCAGGCGAGACAAAAATGGAATAAAATGCTCCGCAGGGCGCAGCTTGATACGACCGCAGAGGTCGAACCCTGAACAGTTGGGGGAAGTATGGACACAACATTCAAGCTTGATACAGCTTTGGATTTGGATTGTGATTAAATATTTGACACAGCATAGGTTTCTAACACAGATTGAATGTGGTCTAAGAACTTAAAAATCTTAAATTGGACATTCACCTATTATGGTCCAATATCCAAAATCTAAATACATGGTTAGATTCAGCATATCAAAGAACCCCAAGAATTCAATTTTTGATGAAATCAAACAAAGTTTAATTTTGGACCCTTTTGACCTCAATGTGGACAAAGTTAATAACGGGGCCCAAAAATCAAAAATCTAAATACATGGTTAGATTCAGCATATCAAAGAACCCCATATATTCAATTTTTGTTGAAATCAAACAAAGTTTAATTTTGGACCCCGATTTGGACCAACTTGAAAACTGGGCCCATAATCAAAAATCTAAATACATGTTTAGATTCAGCATATCAAAGAACCCTAAGAATTCAATTTTTGTTAAAATCAAACTAAGTTTAATTTTGGACCCTTTGGACCTTAATGTAGACAAATTTGAAAACGGAACCAAAAATTAAGAATCTAAATACACGGTTAGATTCGGCATATCAAAGAACCCCAATAATTCAATTTTTGATGAAATCAAACAAAGTTTAATTTTGAACCCTTTTAACCTCAATGTGGACAAAGTTGATAACGGGGCCCAAAAATCAAAAATCTAAATACATGGTAAGATTCAGCATATCAAAGAACCCCATATATTCAATTTTTATTGAAATCAAACAAAGTTTAATTTTGGACCCCGATTTGGACCAACTTGAAAACTGGGCCCATAATCACAAATCTAAATACATGTTTAGATTCAGCATATCAAAGAACCCTAAGAATTCAATTTTTGTTAAAATCAAACTAAGTTTAATTTTGGACCCTTTGGACCTTAATGTAGACCAATTTGAAAACGGAACCAAAATTTAAGAATCTAAATACACAGTTAGATTCGGCATATCAAAGAACCCCAATAATTCAATTTTTGATGAAATCAAACAAAGTTTAATTTTGGACCCTTTGGACCTCAATGTGGACCAATTTAAAAACGGGGCCCAAAATCCAAAAACTAAATACACGGTTAGATTCAGCATATTAAAAAACCCAATAAAATCAAGAATAAAACCCCATTGAAATTGGTCAAGAAATAAGCAATTTATAGGAAGTATCTTCTTTTGCACAATCCTGTGCTATTAAATATTTCTTGCTATTGCGCAATACTGTACAATTGACAATTTCTTGCTATTGCGCAATATTGTGCTATTGGATATTTCTTGCTATTGCGCAATACTGTGCAATTGAAGATTTCTTGCTATTGCGCAATACTGTGCAATTGAAGATTTCTTGCTATTGTGCAATACTGTGCAATTGAAAATTTCTTGCTATTGCACAATACTTATTATATAATAATTTACACATCCTGTTTGGTGTGTATCTCCTACCATATCATTATTATTTGATTTTAAATATAAATCAGAAATAACCAACTTAAAATGGAAAATTTTAAAAGAAACAAAAAAGGAAAAAAAGAAAAAAAAGGAAAAAAAAATAAATCCCCCCCCAAAATTTTTTGAACCCCCATTATGATTCATCACCCCCAAACTCAATCCCAGCCTTCCCTTTGTGGTATGGTACCTTGCAGTACAATTTCAGAGAGATCCATACACTTGAACACAAGTTATTGTCTGGAAACTAGAAAAAAATGTGTTTTTTGGCCCCTTTTTGGCCCCAAATTCCTAAACGATTAGGGCAATTACCCCCAAACTCAAACCCAGCTTTCCCTTTGTGATATGGAACCTTGTAGTACAATTTCAGAAAGATCCATACACTTACACACAAGTTATTGTCATGAAACTAGAAAAATGCTTGTTTTTTGCCCCTTTTTTGGCCCCTAATTCCTAAAATTTGGAGGCAATTACCCCCAAAATCAATCCCAGCATTCCTTTAGTGATATGGAACCTTGTGGTACAATGTCAGAGAGATCCATACACTAACACACAAGTTATGTCTGGAAGTTACAAAAATGCTTATTTTTGGCCCCTTTTTGGCCCCTAATTCCTTTACTGTTATTACCATAACCCCCAAAATCAATCCCAGCCTTCCTTTTGTGGTATTGAACCTTGTGGTAAAATTTCATAAAGATCCATTCACTTAAACTAAAGTTAGAGTGCGAAAACCAATGTGTCTTCGGACGACGCCAGACGACGCTGGACGACGACGACGACGACGACGACGACGACGACGCCGGACGACGACGACGCCAACGTCATACCAATATACGACCACAAAAATTTTTTTGCGGTCGTATAAAAATGAACCTGTTCAAGGGATAAAATTGAGAATGGAAATGGGGAATGCCGACCAAAAAAGAGCAAAAACCAGCCCAAGGCCACCAATGGGTCTTCAACACAGCAAGAAAATCCTGCAACCGGAGATTGGTATTAGTATCATACCATCATAAAATATATGAGAACAAGAAGGGAGGCCATTTACTCATTGATTCACAAGACTTGTAGGAATTGCAACATAGTGCAAAGGAGTGTGTCTCTTTTGCATACAATGACACATCAAATTACATAAATAAACACTGCATTCAAGTTCTAGCTGCATTGAAGATTCTAATTTTTCAATATAACCAACAGTCGTTAATTTATAGGATGATGACTGTTAACTCATGCTAACCCACAGTAAAGATTATTTGTTTAAAATTTGTTTAAACCTTCGCAGAAAAATGTATGAACTACTTATGTTCATAGCTCATTTTTAATGTGTTTAGGGCCAGCTGAGGCCCACCTACAGGTACGGGATTTTCTCGCTCCATTGAAGACCTATTGGTGGCCTTCGGCTGTTATCTGCTCTTTGGTGGGGTTGTTGTATCTTTGACATATTCCCCATTTCCATCCTCAATTTTATTCCACATTATATTATATATTCTTTTTAACATTTTTGCCTTTAACTATTTAAGAAACAAAACAGATCATGTGCTTGCATCAACTTACCCAAATAAAGATTAATTTAAAGTCTGAACATTTTGACATTATTTATTCTTTTATTTGTGCCTGCTTTTTAATATTATCAAAGCTTCAGGTTTAGATTTGAGTAAGTACCCATATCCCGATATCGTCAGGTAGAATTTCTATAGGTTTCGCTGTTAAACTACGGTAAGTGTTAAGGGGAGGCTTGCAAATATGTTTAACACCACCACATTCTGTATGTGCCTGTCTAAAGTCATGATATCATTGGTTGCTGTCTATCATTTTTTGTTTCTGTTTTGTACATAAATCAGGTTGTTGGTTCTTTCGTTTGAATTGCTTTACCTTTTTGTCATGTCAGGACCTTTTAAAGCTTCCAATACCATATTAGGTGTTGCTCAATGTTGATAGCCTTACTATCACCTCTAGTTGCTTAAATCTACTTCATCTGGCCTTGCGGTCATAAAACTTTCGAGCGCGATTTTCGTACTCAGACTCAGATATCAACCAATCAAAATCATGGATTTGGTGTTTCGAGCACAAATTTTGTACTCCGAGTACTGAAAAGTTTTATGACCGAGAGCCCTGGTCTCTGTTGAAGAGTTGTCTCATTTCCTACCACATCTTCTTATTCTTATTATAAGTGCAATTCATTATGCTGTCCCAGCAGTGGCAATATCATTTTTTTTAAATTGTAGCTTTTAAGCATGTGTAAGTTTTCATTTAATATTAAAGTCTACTTTTTGTTAAACATTTGGTGGAATTAGATTAAATAAATCAATTCAATTCATTTTGTATTTAACAAACATTTATAATTACATTCATACATATAATATTAGAATCTACGAACTTGTTTATTTAATGTTTGCGTGCTTCATTTCTGTGATATGCAGCTGATTTTGAATTAGTATGAGCATAGTATTCTGTAAAATTAGGCTCCACAAATCTGCCCCTTGGACTGTAATAAACTGGTTCTCCATATAAGGTACCAGTTTTCCAATGTGGGACATTTTTCATCAATTCATTCTCTTCATCTCTAAGTTTCCTCCAGTATTTCATTGTACTGAAAATAAAATTTGTTTATTTTTCAATGTTAAATATCAGATCATCAGAAATTATACCTGAATGGCAAGTTTGTTTTGAATTTCTTCTTGACTCTTGTTAATAAAAGACAAAATACTGGGTCTGGACCTGTGTCTCTGCATGTAATTGATTGAGGTAACTTGTATACTGGAGCATAACTGATCATTCCCTTTCACTAAAGCAAAGAAAACTTTCACGAAAATTTTCCTTGCACAATAAGTGTTGTTAAATATCAAACTATCGGCACTCAACATTATAAAGCTTCAGACCAAATATTAAATTATTCCCTTTCATAGAAGCCAAAAAAAACTTTTGACGAAAGATTTCTTTCGTACAGAAGGAAGCACATACTTCTCCAATCCAATCAAAATACTTTAAAGTTGATGTAAAACAAAGAAAATCAAGATAATTTACCAAATATACAAATTTTGTCATGGTTTGCTGCTGGAATGGTAACTCGTTTCATGTGAAATTTGTTTTTTTTGGGAACACCATGTACCTTAGTGTAGTTGGGACAAATAAAAGAACATAAAATTGAGAATGGAAATGGGGAATGTGTCAAAGAGACAACAACCCGACCGTAGAGCAGACAACAGCCGAAGGCCACCAATGGGTCTTCAATGCAGCGAGAAACTCCCGCACCCGGGGGGCGTCCTTCAGCTGGCCCCTAAACAAATATGTATACTAGTTTAGTGATAATGGACGTCATACTAAACTCTAAATTATACACAGGAAACTAAAATTAAAAATGATACAAGACTCACAAAGGTCAGAGGCACCTGACTTGGGACAGTCGCAAAATTGCGGCGGGGTGAAACATGTTTTTAGAGATCTCAACCCTCCCCCTATATCTCTAGCCAATGTAGAAAAAACAAACGCACAACAAAACTCAGTATAAGAGAAGTCCGAGTCCGATGTCAGAATAGGAAATAAAGGGAAATAAACAAAATGACAATAATACATAAATAACAACAGACTACTAGCAGTTACTGACATGTTGTAAATTTGTAAAAATACAACAACTAGGTGTGTATACATCATGAGTTTGTAGTTAATGAACAGCCAAATCAATTTGTTGGCCCAAAAATGCCCCAACCCCCTCTCTCTCAAGAAAAAAAAAGTTTGTTGGTGGTTTCCTTTTACAGCAAGAGCTGTATGTATTCAAATATAAGAATAGGGTCCACTGCATGGCTTACAAATCAGTCATATTGTCCTGAAAAGTCATGAAAATTATATTCTCGACCGGTTTGCTGAGTCTGAACTGGACATCACATTTTGGTTTGCCCTTTTAACGTAAATCGGAGAGAGAAAAAATTGAAGATTTGCAATTTTATTTACCTGAACTTTTTCCTTAAACAGCCACACTCTTTCATGTCATAAAAGTGATAATTACTCTAAAAGCAAGCCCTACTTTAATACCCACTATCACCTTCATATTATAAAAGGGATAATTTAAACTGAGATTGGTGATTTATCAACCAACTCAATGAGAACCTATATTCAATTCAAGATCATTAATACATATCAGCAGCAAGGTAAATCTCATTTGTACAAAATTTGGACAACTATGCACATTACAGAAATATGTTATTATTTTGAATAAAATTATCAATTGAATAGTTAAAAAAATACATTCATCTTTAACTTTAAAATACCTTCTTTGCCTTTCTGCCATAATGAGTGGTTCTACAGCAAATCTAGCATCATTCTGTTCTATTCTTCTTAATCTGAGAAAATTAAGAGAGTAGTCAATACCTACTTTTCAGATTTAAGTTAAAATATGGACATTTTTTGTATTTTTCTAAAAACTAATTTAAGTACCAGCAGAACTGGTTCTAAAAGCTCTGAGTATGCATTTTGCTGATCTTTTTTGAGAAAAATTATTTAAATAAGGCAACACTATCAGGTGCTTCGTGAGAAGATGCATTTAACAATAGCTGTATTGCCTAATGGACAAAGAAATTAGGGAGTTCAATTTGGTAATGGGCGAAAGATTGTGAAGCGCTTAGGAATGTATGTCTTTGGTCATTTATGACATACTCACCTGATAATAGTGTAGGCTGAATATTATTATGGTGAGCATTTTATGTAATGTGCTTTCTCAAGAAAGAACAAGCTTTGGAAAAACAAACCAGCTTTTATGACAAAATACAGGGGGATGCACATATTGTTGCTACTAAGATAAAGAATATCTACTATTCGAAAACTTAATTTAGCATACATGTATCTGTATCTGTCACTAAGGTTTGTCTTCAAATGTTCTTCAGTCAATATTGATAGATGAAAGATCAAGCAGACTGCTTCAATTCATTTCACCAAAAAAATCTTACAAGTAAAAGTAATTATACAGTATGAACATTTAAGTGAAATTTATGATTAATTTAAATCAGATACTTTGTTTTAAAAGTACATTGTAACTAAATTGCTATTGTCCTAAATTTCTAGCTCAGTGAGATAGGTGACATGTAAATTATCTTTAAATTTATTAACATGTAATGCTAAAAGAAAGTAAAATCAACTACACAGATAGATATTCTTAAAAAAAAAGCTGTAATCAATCAAAACTCAATATCTTCTTGTTACATTCAGAATGGCTCAAGACATAGTAATTCTACTGTCTTTCTTACATCAAATATGCAACCCTTTTTAAAATACTTTTAGAACCAAACAAATTATAATAATAATTGGGAAATTTCTCCTGGGTGAAAAGGCTTTTTGTATCAAACCTTCACAAAAATGCACTGAAAATTGATAATCAAATCTAAAGAATAACAAGAGAATCTCTGTATCCATGAATTTTGTTTTATTTATCAATGTAAATGTTTCACATCAAATTACATGTGTTATTTAAAATTACCTACATGTATTAGTGATTCATGGTATTACATGTACCTGAGACAAGTAGATAATGTATTAGTCCCAGGTATTACTAAATTTAGTTAAACATGAACTAGGAGTTGCTTACATCCACTTCATTTGAACTTTGGTGGTTATTTGTCTCATTGGCAGTCATACCACATCTCCTTATTTTCATATAGTACTGATTTTTTTTTTTAGTTATTTGTGGAAAACTTTTAGTGCATACTATTTAAGTTTTAATTATTTCCCCACCTGGATAATATCCATTGAGGAGGTGTTCCATAATTGGAAGGACATACATATAGAAGACATGGAAGAAGAAGAAGAAGACTGAGTATATTCATACAAGCAGATTTATAATGTGATAAATTCTAAACCATACCTCCATGTTCTTCTTGTTTTATAATAGGAAATTATTCCAAATGTAGTAAAGCCAACCAAACCTGCTAACTTTATAAATGCTACAAAATAATTAAAGGAAACATATAAATATGATAGATTAATTAATTTACTAGGAAAACTTGGAATGAGACAAAAATCACAATGTAAAAGGCATCCAAAATATATTTAACTAAACAAAATGTGGCATTTCACATCCAATTCTTTTTTGGCAACATTATTTATAAAACTTTGAACAAATCTAGAATAGTCAATCTTTTTGGCTAAAATTTTTACTTATTCAATTAATGATCAAGGTTGAAATCATACTGTGTTGTTCAATCAATGTGTCTGTTTTTATTTATTTTTTTTTTAATTATGAATCATCATTTAAGATTGCTAATTTATAGTTTAAATAAATTATTATAAGGCAAAAGTTTTTCTTCATTTTTGTCTGCCTTGAAATTCTGATGGTCTGTGTATCACACAAGATAGTGTCTTCCTGTAGAATAGAGAATGGAAACAAGGAATGGGTCAAAGAGACAACAACCCAACCAAAGAGCAGAAAACAGCCCAAGGTCACCAATGGGTCCTCAACGCAGCAAAAAAAATTCTGCACATGGATACGGGCTGTGCATATGAAAGTTATTGCAGTGTAGGAGGGCAAACATTTTCTATTTGAACTTTCTTTCGATAACAATGAGCATTCTTTGATATGGTATTGTTTATCATTGTTGTGCTTGTTGTATCTGAGAGTTTAGAGCTTTTGTGCATTGATTTTTATTGCACCATCTTTCTTCTTTTATTATCTGATTATTCTACTAATTGAGTAAGTAGTTTAACCATTCAACATATTCATAATACTGTTCTAACCTTCATAGTTAAACCTATTTTTAAAACAGATTACTTCATGCACAACTGTGTAATTTTTAATGAAATGGTTTTCTTGACAAGCATGACAAGTATGATTATACACATGCACATCATTTTGTAACTTGAATATCTGAGAAAATGTTATTTATAAATTGCATGACATGAATTGGATAGGATCTAATGGATGTCACAATCACTGCTTACTGCACTATGTTGTTGGAACTCTCAAAGGAAAAGAATGAGGCCTAGAAGAAATAGCTAGATCAACTAAGAGTCTGAGATAAAAGCGTTTCGATAGCAAATTTGTTTAGACCCTTTGCATTGTTAATTTGTATTCCATTTGGAACATTACAATAAAATGCTCCCTTAAACGTTAGAAGTGTCTATATATTATGGTCTTGATAAAACCGTCAACAGCATGGCCAAAATTAAACTTTTTTCAAGATTCTCTTTTTTTCAGTGAAACATCTTTAAGGGTTCCCAGGCATTCTACAAATATGTATTTCCCACAAATTTGTATCTGAATTCTTAAGTAGCATCAATTTCCCTCAAACTTGTATATCTGATTGCCTACAAGTATGACAAAATAAACACAATCAAACATGCAAAATCTACTTAGGTGTTCATTAGATGACTCCTCCAAATTCATTCAAGGACTGACCAACATTAGGTAGACAAACTGCAATGATTCATCTGACTGACTAAAATACAGTCTTGTCAGTATCACAAAAAAATTTGAGGAAAATCTGTTATCACTATATATGCTATACACAAAAAATTGTTGTTTTCAAAGAATTTTGTGCTTTTTTACATAATAAAGCATTAACTTTTAAAGGAAAATTATATCATATTCAAGGTTGCGAGAATAACAATATTTAAATATGTTCTGTTTTAATTACGCCTTTCAAACCCAGCAGATCACTCAGGTTGGAATTTGTATGCTCTTACATCCTCCATATGACTTCCGAACGAAAGCTACGGTGAGAGGCGTTTTGACAAGGCTGCACCTACACTTTGGAACAGTTTACCATCGTCCTTGCGGAGTGTAAATTCTTTAGATGTTTTTAAAAAGCAACTCAAGACTCACTTATTTTGAACTGCTTTTAAGGATTTCTTGCAGATTTTATAAACTTTTAAGTGACTGCATTAGTTTTAGACTGATTTGTATATTTTAGGGTACATGCATTTTTCATTTTTAGTATTTTATAAATCTTTATATGCTTGTTTGATTCTTGTAAGTTGGTGCTTTGTAATTTATGTTTTATGTATTTTGTATTTTATTTATTTTTAAATGTGAAGTGCTTAGAGTAATTGTTGTTATTAAATAATGCACTTTATAAATATTGTATTTATTTATTTATTTATTTTGATTTTGGCAGCTAAATAGGGGATAACACATATTTGTTTAAATACTGAACACTTGGACCATTGAGTTGCCAATATTTGTCTATCCTGACATCCTTGCCAAACCTCCTGTTCATGTCAGTACAGCTAGGCTAATACAATCCACATAACCACTTTTCAGCGCTAAACAGGACAGAATTACTGCACAGTGAGCCAGGATACAAGGCTAAAATTTTTCTGACTAACAACTAGCTGTGGAACCATAGCTCATAGGTCCTTATGATATTTTTTGACAATTTGCCGACCACAGTATGGTTCTGCAGCTAACTGACAACATTATTGGTGGACTTGTCTAATGATCCAGCACATTTAAGAAGTCTATATCAGGTACCGTAGCATCTCCCTCATAGTCATAATCATACATGTATTATTACATAGTCAAAATAATTATGAATAGCCTTCCAAGACGTCATAATTATTTGGACTAATTTAGTACCACGGCTTATTAACGAATTTAACAGTAACAACATGAATTAATGCATGTCTGTTTGGTCTTTTGACATTGTTCTTTTCACTTTTGTCAATTTGATAACTATCAAAACCTGGGAAAGGAAGTATCTAATGGACTAGCCTGTGATCAGGGATAAATATTTGTTTCGCAATGTATTGCCAAACGGTGAATCAGGATCCCATGTTTGACATGATACAATACACCTTATCGCTATTTGTCCGCCATTACTGGACATCACAAAAGTTCCCGTAAAATTTTGACGTCATAATAGAAAATATCTGACGCCATAATGGAAAAGTGATTGTTGTATGACGTCAAAAGTTCAAGCGGGACAGATTCTCGGGTCAAGCGGGAATAGCGATAAGGTGTATTAGATAATAATTTGGTTGATCAGTTTAGTGTTTGCTAACCGGTTAGTTACCCAGGCTAGACATGGATACCCGATTGCCATGATTACATTAAAGTATAGAATAGTACCATTTCCTTGCTTAGGCATTATCTTTTCATATTGTATAGGCCTGTACCCCCCAGGCGGGGGCATATCTTGAGTGTACCCGATCCTCGACATCCTCGGATTCCCCAAAATTTGGAGGTCGCAAGGGAGATAACTCAAGGCAGGTTTATAATATAAGAACCAATTTCGGACTGAGAAAGGTTTAAATCCGTGTAAAATTGAAGCAGGCCACTCAGTTACTATTAGTTTTATCAAATAATTTTTTTCTAAACCAAAGGCTATAAGTGAATCTCCTAGAGATCTATGAAGTGACCCACTGTCCTAAATGAGACCATTAAAAAGGCATTATAGGCAAAGGGTTTGGATAGGGTTTACAGAATTATATTGAATAATGGACAAAAAATAAAGAATAGAGAAAAATAAACCCCTAAAAAAAATAGGTTGATTATGGGGTGCTAAAATATGAAGATTAGATAATAATAGGCAAAATCTATAGAGAATAGAGAAAAATGGCTTAAAAAATTAAAGAATATAGATTTGAAGGATCTCCCATCCAGACCCTCATAGAAATCACAACTTCTGAATCTTTCAGAGCAGATAAACCTGTTTATTTTCGTAGGGTTTCAATCAAAACCAAGTGCCACTATTACTGCCATCTTTTCCTTCAGTCAACATTTGTTTGAAAATGATCTTAAAAAATCTGTCATCTTCCTAATTTACCCCACCTCACTTATTTTGATATGGACTTGTCATCGTTTATATTGAATCTTATATATAATTTCTAATGGATGAAGTTACTATCACTCACCTCTAACTGCTTACCTATTGAAATTTTCCTGCATTTATTATGTCAGAATATAAAATTTTATTATGTAAAAATAATTGTTTATAAATACTCTATATAGTTATGAAATAATAAAATGACTTTGTTTTGTTGATTAACAATTCTAGTTATGTTTTCTTTTGTTTGTCCTCCTTCTATTCTAAGTGTACCAATTGTAACTATAGGTTCTAAAGAGCATGTGTCCCTAACCTGCACCTTTAACAATGGCCATTTTTTTTGTAAAAAACATCATTAAATGGGAATAACTCTATTAAGAGTTGACTAAAAATTTCAGTCATGTTGAAGTATTTGTAGATCTTATCCTGTTGATGTTTTTTCCTTTTAATATTTTTCTATTTATCTTTTACAGTTTATTATTATCAAGATAACATGCAAAAATGCAAAAGAAATGGTGAAAATTATCATTAAAGGACAATAACTCCAATAAGGAGATTGACTGAGGATTTCAGCCTTTCTAATTTATTTGTTGATCTTGTCTTGCTGATCATTTTTTCTATTTAAAGTTTCTATCTACCTATTATTGTTTTCATAAAAGGCAAAAATGTAAAAAAAGGGGGTGAATTGTCATTACAGGGCAATAACTTAAATAAGAAGTAGACTAAGGATTTCAGTCATGTTGACTTACATGTACTAGTAGATCTTGTCTTGTTGATCATTTTTGCCAAGTAAAGTTTCTATCCATCTATTATAATTTTTGAAATAATGGGCAAAAATATATAAAATTAGAAAAATTCAATGTTTAGATGCAATAACTCATACAAGAAGTTATCTGACAGTTTTGATGTCAATAGACATTATGTAGATCTCATAGTCAAATTTTTATATCTATAGCAATTTTCAAGATAATACTCAAAAATTGTATTTTACTCCTATGTTCTATTTCTAGCCGCCAAGCTGGATCATTGGACAATTTTTTTAAATATATCCCCATTGATGATTGTGGCCAAGTTTGGTTAAATATGGCCTAGTAGTTTCAGAGGAGATGATCTTTTTTAAAAGTAAACTGGCGATGACGGACAACAAATATGTATGACAATGTATATAGCACCAACAAGATAACATATTTAACCACAGAAACATTATGTCTAGTGATTCAATCACAAAACTAAAAAATTCAGAACCTCATGTGTGCAAAAATAACTGTGATAAATTTTGTAATTAAGAATGTACTTAGGTCAGGTTTAGGAATTTTTGTCAGATATTCGGACTCCTTGGTTTTATTTCCTACAATACAGGGTAAAATATTTTGCCCCATAACACCCATTTTTCTTTTCATATAAGACTTCAATAGCTCATAAAATGTCATTAACTAAAATTTAAGCAGATTCTAGATTTCTTTTCTTTTGATTTGAGACCCAAATAATACCAATGCAAATATAAGTTAAAGTCCGAGTCAGCCTTTTCCCGCCATTTAAAAAAAATTAAATATCTCGAAAAGGAGCTCCATAATTTATCAATATATTTAGCTTATTTTGTTCCTTTACTAATGCTTTTTTGACTTATAGTATCAATTTTAAATTCTAGATTTAAATAATTTCACCTAACTACATCCTAATACCAAATATCATGATTGCAACTCCATAGCAAAGTTGACCAGTTACAGTTTTGTTTGTGATTATTAGACATTTTTTTGTTGTACAGTTGAACCAACAAAAAGTCTTTGACTTTTAATGATATTTGCCATGGATTTTTAACTTCATACATATACTTTGAAGGCAAACTAATTCCTTTTTGACATATGCAATCTATTCCAGCAATTATTAAATGGTGTGTGTTATAGATAGGTATCAAGAGTACATTGAAGGGAAAAACCATTAAAGAAAAACATCTTCTAGATTATATATAATCTTTAGCACTTTTTTTGCAATTCCAAATTGTGTGAAACTTGGCACGCTGTAGAAAGCCATAAATGTACATCAATTGTAGATTAAAATTTTATCTGTAAACAAATATGTGATCATGTTTTATGTGCACTCTCTCATATGCTTTTATTTCCATCGTGGTTGGTCTCATCTCATTCAGTTTTAATAATAGTTTTCCATCAATATTGTACACAGAGATTATCATGGCCAAATAATCAATATAATCATAGATTTTAAATATATTTATTGAATTTTTATAACAGACAATTATTGCACCATCCCTTGCTTAACATACAAACTCATTCAACAGCACTCACACACTATCTATTTAAACATGCACAAGGTAACAATGAATAATTAAACAAAAACATTTCACAAATAAATTATTGTTCATTGTAAATACTTTTATGTATAAACAAAAATCATAAATAAAATTATTTGGAATGATCAGTTATTTGTAATCCTGCCACTCCATCTTATTTTGTTGTAAAGTAAAAGTATGCTTAAACCTTGATGACCTTCTGGATATTTTTAATATCAAATCAAATCAATAATAGTACTTCATACTTTTCCTTTTACATCAACTGATTACTTTATATAGTTTCAAAGGAAATTAGAAATTCCAACAGTAATGCACTACTTATTATTTATAATAAATATTGATACTAAATAACTACAACCCTACTTTTGTCCTGCATCCATTTTAATAGTATATCTTCTTGAGGTTATACTTGTAGAAAAATTTTATCTCTTAGAAAATGCTCTTACAAGATCTATGCAGCACTTACATTTTACGGTCCATTTGTCCTAGACCTAAATTTAGATATCAAATATAAGGTATTTTAGTACATAACAAAGTTATTTCTATTAAATAGCAGACATATCATCTAACAATTTTACTGCAATCATCACAAAAGGTTGCAAGTGATTTCAAGTGTTAACTTGAACATCCCCTGATTATCATAAATACTTTTATAATATTCAATGATGCCATTATAAACTATTTTATAACATCTGATTTTGTTCCTGAACTTTAACTATATTGTAAATGATGAACATGAACCGTTGTAGTTAATTCATCTTCTGTGGTATCTTGGTCCTACATTACTTGAACTCTGACCTTGAACACCCTGTGCTACTTCATCAAGAAAACTGAAAATACATAAGGAAATGAAACAACATATCAACAGATATCACACCATTATGCCACATTTATGTGCAATAGTACTTTCTGTTACTCAGACAGGTTGTGTATCTACATTTCAAAACATGACAAAAGTATGTACATCTTATCACAAAACGATTCTATATAATGTTGTTTTCTATACACTTTTAAATTGTTAAAAGATCATTTCAAGAAAAGAATCTTTCTACAAAGGAAATTGCGATCAGTTTCTAAAAAAATTCGTAAGGGTTCCGCGGAACCCAGTGTCTCGCCTACTTTTGCTGTTAATCGCAGGCTCAACAAAAATGAGAAAAAAAAAATAAAAATATTCCTCTCTATACTATCTTTTGATTGTAAGTAGCTTCTGTCCAAGTTTGGTAAAAATCCAGGATTATTTATGAATCTAATAAATGTTTTAAAAACTTAAACTGCAGACTGTATGTAATGTTGACTGGAAGAAAAACTAAGTCCATTTATAAGTAAAATACGGAAAAAATGGAACAAAATTTTATCAAAATTTCCTTCTAGATACTAGCTTTTGATCATAAACAAGATTCTGTCCAAGTGTGGTACAAATCCAGGATAGTTTAAGAAAGTTGTTAAAATTTTAAAAACTTTAACCACAGAGTGAATGTAATGTTAACTGGCAGAAAAACTAAGTCCATTTATAAGTAAAATATGGAAAAAATGGAATTTTTTTTTACAAAATTTACTTTAGAATATAATCTTATGATCATAAACAAGCTTCTTTCCAAGTTTGGTAGAAATCGAGGATAGTTTAAGAAAGTTATCAAAATTTCAAAAACTTTAACCACAGAGTGAATGTAATGTTTCCTGGCAGAAAAACTAAGTCCATTTATAAGTAAAATACAGAAAAAATGGATTTTTTTTTTTTACAAAATTTGCTTTTGAATATAATCTTATGATCATAAACAAGCTTCTGTCTAAGTTTGGTAGAAATCCAGGATAGTTTAAGAAAGTTGTTAAAATTTCAAAAACTTTAACCACAGAGTGAATGTAATGTTAACTGGCAGAAAAACTAAGTCCATTTATAAGTAAAATATGGAAAAAATGGATTTTTTTTTTTACAAAATTTACTTCTGGATTCTATCTTATGATCATAAACAAGCTTCTTTCCAAGTTTGGTAGAAATCCAGGATAGTTTAAGAAAGTTATCAAAATTTCAAAAACTTTAACCACAGAGTGAATGTAATGTTTCCTGACAGAAAAACTAAGTCCATTTATAAGTAAAATACGGAAAAAATGGAATTTTTTTTTTACAAAATTTGCTTTTGAATATAATCTTATGATCATAAACAAGCTTCTGTCCAAGTTTGGAAAAATCCAGGATAGTTTAAGAAAGTTGTTAAAATTTCAAAAACTTTAACCACAGAGTGAATGTAATGTTTCCTGGCAGAAAAACTAAGTCCATTTATCAGTAAAATACGGAAAAAATGGAATTTTTTTTTACAAAATTTACTTTAGAATATAATCTTATGATCATAAACAAGCTTCTGTCCAAGTTTGGTAGAAATCCAGGATAGTTTAAGAAAGTTATTAAAATTTCAAAAACTTTAACCACAGAGTGAATATTTGTGGACGCCGCCGCCGACGACGACGCCGACGGAATGTAGGATCGCTATGTCTCGCTTTTTCGACAAAAGTCGAAGGCTCGACAATGAATAAAACGTACTTTATCAATAGGTAAGGATAATGCTCAATTTTGCCATTCAAGATGTCATATAATGTGAAATGAAAAAAATTGCTTTTACACACTATTCTGTTAGGTTCTATGATTTGCCATTAAGTTGTCTATAATCTGCCTTTTAACCTCGGAAAAACAAAAAAACTAACGAGAGCATCAATCCAAAGAGGTGATAGTAACCTGAATTATTACTAATATTTTACTTTTTGAAATTATGAACAGTTGTGCCTCCAATTATGATACGAATCCCTGGACTACTTCTGTTAAGAGTATGTATAGCTAAGGCTTCTTCAAAGGTTGTTCCACCAATTACAAATACAATTATATCTTGTGGTCTGAAATTGAATTAAAATTTTGACTTTGGTTTTTTTTCAAGGTTTCTCAATTTGCGAAGAATTAAATCTCACTTCCTACTAATAAAATTTAACCACATCTGTAAAAATGTTGAAGCTTTGAAATGAACCATCATACATATCCAAGCTTATGATATGGACTGAGAAATGGAAGATAAATCTACCAGAATTGAATTGTGCATTCTGACCCAGTTGATCAGCACTGATTTTCAAATTTGTCCAAGGCATTGGTGATACAAGAGTGTACACGCTTTCTTTTTAAATTTGAAGTTTCATATTACTTTAAATTCTGTACATTGGAGACATTTTGAAATACTTACGATTTTAAGCCATCTTGACCGTAAATCGAACCTTCTCCTTTCCAAATTAAATAATCTTAATTTATCCTTAATTGATAATTTTCTGTATTATATATATATGAAATCTTGTCCTGCATATTGTTTCATTCTAACAAATGTTTAATTTTTCTTATTTCAATACAGATTAAGTCATTAAAAGTTTATTATATAAAGAGAAAAATTTTACCTGTCTTTCAACTGACTGACTCCTAAGTAGGGATAAGCTCCTTCTTTTAGTTTGCCCTTTATCAATTGGTCTAACAAGCTGTATAACAAAGGTTTATGTTGTGTATAAACATTCTCCACACCCTGCAAAATGGTACAAGATTTTTTAAAGAGTGCACTTTATTCTTTGAGGTTAATATATCCTTAAAGAATGTCAAAATAAAGTAATGTTATTGTTTGTAAAACAGGAAAAGGGGTGTGTTGAAATTCACTGCTTTTTTTGAAAATTTGACAGAAGTACAACATACCATTATATCACAGTTCCATGCATAAAATTAATGTTCTGATACCACCCTCTATTCATCTTTATTTAAATCCGATATAGTATTTACACAAAAAACAATCTTATGTTATAAAAGAGAGGCGAAAGATACCAAAGGGACATTCAAACTCATACGTCGAAAATAAACTGACAACGCCATGGTTAAAAAAAAAGTCCAACAGTACACAAAACACAACATAGAAAACAAAAGTCTGAGCAACACAACCCCACCAAAAATTGGGGGTGATCTCAGGTGCTCCGGAAGGGTAAGCAGATCCGGCTTTTAAGGATTTTGTCATAACAAGTAGATGATTTGTATTTACACACTGGTCTATAAAAGAAAGGAAAAGAAAGGTTTTTTTCAAGTAAATGTTATATGTCATTGTGTTCTTTGTCTGGGGTGTAAAATCTTTTTGGATCATTCAGTTCTATAAGATATATGCTAGGCTGGCAGATTCTCATTTCTTTAATGTAGCTCTAAAAGATTAATCCCTTTGTTCTAAAATTCTATAAAAAGCTTGCTTTATTATATTAATACAAGCTTTATAAGAAAAAAAAATATGTTCATAAATTTGAATGTCTGCTAATACTAATACTTTATTGCATTGTAATTACCACAAAACAATTCACTGTGAAATTTTCAGAATAATAATATTTATATTAGATATACAAAATGTGTTGCCTTGAATTATTAAATAGTCTTTTTCTTATATTACAAATGTTTTTCTAATACCAAGGTGATTTACCTTAACACCTTTAAGAAATTTCTTGGTTATAGAAACAATATCCTGGTTACCAAACAAATCACTTCCTCTGGATTTCTTCCCACCATAATCTAACACAGCATGAACCATCTACAAAAAGAAAATTAAACAATTATTCAACTAATCTTAAGAGTTATTAATAACAAATACATTGTACTAAATGTTACCTCCTTCCTCTCAATTTTTGTCAACATATCACCTATTTGTTCAGGCTATTTCGGAAAAGATCAAAGAAACAGCATACAACAAAAAATAATTTGATACAAGAACTCATTCTGGTTCAATAGCATTGTTTAACAGTCCTCTGATGTAAACAAAGCAATACATATTGATGAGGTACAATTTTTGTAAATTTTTTGTAAAATTCAAAATGTGCTCACCATTAACATAAAAGATCAATAAAATCCACATTCTATGCATTCTTTAAGTATTTCAGGGTCGATTTTAAAATTCGCGGATATCCTATAATTTTTCATTTCGGAATAACATTTTTTTACCAATTTCATTGAAGTCCTAGCAAAAAAAAATTTTTCATAAAAATTTACTTTTGAACAAAAAGGAAGTTTTTACAGCAAATTTGACACCTGAGTATTGGCATGTACAGTGCAGGGTATGTTAAAAATTTTTTACCATTCTGAGTCTGTCACTGACACCCCTCTTTCGTAAAGCATCAACCAATCCTGATACATCATTGTTACTATGGCTTTCATATCTCAGAGCATACAACATAACTAAACGTAACATATCAATATGCTGAATCTTCTCAGAAGCTATTGAAGTTTTGATTCTCTGCAAAAAAAACAAAAAAACAATATATTAATTTTCAAACTATTAATGGGCTCCATGATAGGCTTTTTAGTTGGTAAACATTAGCATTTACAGTAAAAAATAACATCCCCTAAGGTAATTTTTTTCCATTTGTTTCATATTAAAAAGCAAACAAAAAGTATATCAAATGAGTTTAAATTTTAGCAGACTTTTTCAAAAACAACTTCAGTAATGTTCATTATTACAGCAAGATTTATATGTTTTTGCATTAGCCTGCATTGAGGATCAGAAACTATTTTCCAAAGAAAAATGTACTAAAATTTGCCGCACGTTTTAGTAAATCTGCACAGTTTAAGTACCTTCACTGATGCTTGTCAATTGTTGAAGGCCATGTGATGATCTCTTTATATCTATTTTTGTTAAGATGTGTTGTTGGGTTGCTGTTTCAGTGACAAATACCTTTCAACCCCTTATCATATGTGTTTTTAACTGATAAGACTCTTTTTACATTATAGAGCAGTTATCCGACTTGTTTCACTTCCCCTCTTTAGCATTGGTTTTACTGCCAAATGAGAGAAATATAGGTGAAAATATTTTTATACCCTCAATCAACCCCTGTGATACTGTAAATTTAGAAATTATTGCATGCATTTATTATTGTGATTTTGGGAGAATGGACAAAAATGCAGGATTAATTATTGTGATTTCAGGAAAATCTCTAAACAGATATCATAATGGGAGTTCTTAATGTTGAGATACTCACCCAGTCGCATTTTTCTCATTAATAAAAACCTCGCAATAATTTCTGAATTTATAGTACCTTTATTTCTAAGATTTACCTGTAGTATTGCTGAGTGATCTCCTTGACACACTATATCTTGCTCTAGTTCAGAGACCTCTAGTAGATGATGTTTGTTTGTAAGTCTAGATAACTCTCCTACAACTGTCACATGCTTGGATACTGTACCAGACATTTTCTTAAATTGTGGATATTGTTCTAAAAATTGCTGTAAAATGTAAATGTAATACAGGATAGTTTTGTTTGTTTATCTTGTTAAGTGAATACACAAAATACAGACAATTACTTTAATCCACTTTTAAATTTAAAAAAAAAACTGAAATACCAACTATCTGTGGGTAAATTTTCAAGCTTTGAATTATATTCTGCTTTTCATATTTGAAAATTGACTTTGTAAATCTTGACTGATTTAAACCTTTTTCAACCTTTTTTCTCCTTTTTTCAGCATGAAATTAGACTATGATTTTAATTAATTGAAATTTAATAACATCGTTTGTTTCCTTTTCACTGTATGGAGTGAAACAACCATAACTCATGATGCAGTGCAACATCCCTGCAACCACCCCCACCCTCCATTTTTAGAAAAACACAAATAAGATAATTTACTTCAAGCCAGCATTACAGATATACATTCTTAACAAACCTTCATATCACTGATAGATTCTATTTTTTCATGACTTTTAGATTTAGTTTGGAACTCATCCATTAGCTCTTTAATGTTGTTTCCAATTTCTCCAAAATTACTATACATATTCTAAAAAGACAAATGAAAATACTACATCAGTTACATGATTTGACAAAAGCTGTTAATTTTTCTAAAGCATTCATACAATTAAAGACAATTCTGTCATTTCATGATTTTATAAACATTGACTATTTTCATCACGCTTCAGACAGTGTATTAGTATACATATAAACAGATTTTATTATATTATGTCAATGTTTAATATCATCAGTTAAGTTTATATTTTTGTATCTTTCATGAGTTTTACAACTACTAAGGTCGATGCCAATTCTGGTGGATATTTCGTCCCGAGGGTATCACCTGTCCAGAAGCACTTTTGTGTTGACATGAAAAACTACTGATATGTTCATTTTCTGTAAAGGGGAAAGTCCGGTAAGGGCTAGTTTTGGCCTAATATTGGAAGTACATCTATTGAAAGATTTTTGACATTTTTTAAACACTTAAGTGTCTACTTCAGTCAATTCAATTAGTTTATGTAAAAGATTTGGACTGATTTGGAAATTAAGACGCTCAAATGGAGGCTTAAATATGAAAATCTATCAAATATACCATAAAACGTCACTTTTCAGATGGTTTTTGTCTAAAATGTAAGTGGCCGCATTCGTGTTCAGTCTCAACCTTTATATATGTTATGTATTATCATCAAATACAACATATATTTTAATATTAAGACTGAACACAAATGTGGCCACTTCCATTTTAGACAAAAAACCTCTTAAAAATAGCACTAATGCTAAAATTGTGAAGATTTCAGTAATATTGCATGAATTCATGATGCTATTACCTGATGCATGTGCATTGTATTGTCAAAATCAGCCCATATTTATAGATCAGAAGTATTCTTCTTTCCAATAAATAGCTAAAAGTTTACATTTTAACAAATTTGTAATAAAATGCTCCGCTGGGCGCAGCTTGATACGACCGCAGAGGTCGAACCCTGAACAGTTGGGGCAAGTATGGACACAACATTCAAGCTTGATACAGCACTGAATTTGGATTGTGATTAAATATTTGACACAGCATAGGTTTCTGACACAGAATGAATGTGGTCTAAGAACTTAAAAATTTTTAATTTACCTATTCAAACCATATCATTATTATTTTCTTTTATATATAAATCAGAAATAACCAATTTAAAATGGAAAATTTTAAAGAGAAAAAAAGGAAAAAAAATTCCCCCCCCCAATTTTTTGAACCCCCTTATGATTCATCACCCCCAAAATCAATCCCAGCCTTCCCTTTGTGGTATGGTACCTTGCAGTACAATTTCAGAGAGATCCATACACTTGAACACAAGTTATTGTCTGGAAACTAGAAAAATGCTTGTTTTTTGGACCCTTTTTTGCCCCAAATTCCTTAACATTTAGGGCAATTACCCCCAAACTCAAACCCAGCTTTCCCTTTGTGATATGGAACCTTGTAGTACAATTTCATAAAGATCCATACACTTACACACAAGTTATTGTCCTGAAACTAGAAAAATGCTTGTTTTTTGCCCCTTTTTGGTCCCCAATTCCTAAAATTTTGAGGCAATTACCCCCAAAATCAATCCAAGCCTTCCCTTTGTGGTATGGTACCTTGCAGTACAATTTCAGAGAGATCCATACACTTGAACACAAGTTATTGTCTGGAAACTAGAAAAATGCTTATTTTTGGCCCCTTTTTTCTAAACATTTTGGGCAATTACCCCCTAACTCAATTCCAGCTTTCCCTTTGTGATATGGAACCTTGTAGTACAATTTCAGAAAGATCCCTAGACTTACACACAAGTTATTGTCATGAAACTAGAAAAATGCTTGTTTTTTGCCCCTTTTTTGGCCCCTAATTCCTAAAATTTTGAGGCAATTACCCCCAAAATCAGTCCAAGCATTCCCTTTGTGATATGGAACCTTGCAGTACAATTTAAGAGAGATCCATACACTTGAACACAAGTTATTGTCTTGAAACTAGAAAAATGCTTATTTTTGGCCCCTTATTCCTAAACGTTTTGGGCAATTACCCCCAAACTCAATTCCAGCTTTCCCTTTGTGCTATGGAACCTTGTAGTACAATTTCAGAAAGATCCCTAGACTTACACACAAGTTATTGTCATGAAACTAGAGAAATGCTTGTTTTATGCCCCTTTTTTGGCCCCTAATTTCTAAAATTTTGAGGCAATTACCCCAAAATCAATCCAAGTGTTCCCTTTGTAATATGGAACCTTGTTGTACAATGTCAGAGAGATCCATACACTAACACACAAGTTATGTCTGGAAGTTACAAAAATGCTTATTTTTGGCCCCTTTTTGGCCCTTAATTCCTTAACTGTTGGTACCATAACCCCAAAAATCAATCCCAACCTTCCTTTTGTGGTATTGAACCTTATGGTAAAATTTCATAGAGATCCATTCACTTAAACTAAAGTTAGAGTGCGAAAACCAATGTGTCTTCGGACGACGACGACAACAATGCCGGACGACGACGACGCCAACGTCATACCAATATACGACCACAAAATTTTTTTGCGGTCGTATAAAAATGCTATGTTTTGGGGCCAAAAAGGGGTCTTATCAGGCCTACTCCTTTACTGTTTATAAAATGTTGAATTATTGGAAACTACTGTTTTTCTATCCCCAAGGAATAGATTGCCTTAGCAGTATTTGGCAAAACATTTTGAAATTTTCATGTTTAATGCTCATCAATTTCATATTTAATTTGTCCTTCAAACTGTTTTGATTTGAGCGCCACTGATAAGTCTTGTGTAGACAAAATGTGTGTCTAGTGTACAAGCCATGTATCTTTGACGAGTGTTTGGAACATTATGATTACTCCCCTGTATGGCTAAATCATAATGTGGTAAGTTTATATCTTTAAATTAAGAAAAAGAAACAAATACTTAATACATGGACACTTCAGAAGGGTTTTTAGTCAATAAATTAAAAATCTGAAGTTTTACATATTCAAGAATAAGATTTTCATCACCCTGTAAAAAAAGAGAAAAATCATACATATCAATTTATTTTTTTTTTCACACTATTCTTTGGATCACAACTAAACCAATTTTTGTCAAATTTTGTTTTTACAATTTTCAATTTCCGAGTTTCAAAAATCAAATTGTTTGCTTCAAAAAGTGATTTAATCAACATCATTGACTTTTTTATCTTTTTCCTATCGATATAAAAATAATCAGCAGTTGGTAAATGTAAGAACTTGTAGCCCATTTCAACAAATATGTGATTGGGATTAAATAACATTATACAAAGAAAATACTACAATGTCATTATTTATAAACTTTGAAGGGGTAATTGCTGTGAGAAAATAGCACCTGCCAAAACCTTACACAAAATACACTTTCTACAAAATCCAATGAAAGATTTTAAAAAGTTCATAATATACAAATGTTGGACAAAGTTATTGCAACAGCTTGGACTTTAGACAGTTTAGCTAATAAATACACAAATCTGTGTGAAATTATTAAAATTTACACGCCACAGGTATAACAAATAATAGTATACTATGTATTCATTTATTTTTGTAGGTATCAGCTTTCGTAGATTAAGGAAAACATGAATTTTAATGGATATCTAATTTCGTGGTTTTGCTAAAGTCAATACATATTCCTATAGAAAATTTGTAATTCCATGAACAGTGAAATTCGTGGTTCTCGTGTATCCATGAAAATTGGTTTTCAAGGAATAATAATGAATCCACAGTAAATGTCATTTATAATATCTTTGCAGAAAATGAAAGGATATGGAGTAAATGTACATTGGACAAAATCGCACACAATACATTGAAAACATAGAAAATTATCAATGAACAGGGCTTTTATTCCTGTCCTTCATCTTGACAGTTGATGTAGGGTCTTCAACAAAAAAAGAATCATTCATACCCTACAACAAGGTCAAGACGGCCCCTAGCGTCAACTAAAGCGGTACTATTGATAAAAATAAACCACAGTTCACCTTCTTGCTCCCCACCCGCCTCGGAGTGCTAACTTGTGCAATGCTTGTGTACGATGGTTCTCCAGTCGAAAGCACCAGGGATACAAGAAAAGTGCAGTAATTTTGAGACATTGATCGCCGCTAAAATATGCCTTGAAGTTACACATGTCGGGAGCGGTCAATGAATTACATAATTTATAATTACGGGCGAGGTTTTTCAACATATATTTACTTATTGTACTTACATTTGCATAAAATTCATCATGTTCGGGAGACAGTACAACTTCCTGTAGTTCTTTACTTATACCAGGAACATTACTGAGGTTTATTCTGCTGTTAGCAATACCTATCAACTCATGTACCATAGCTTGGTATGTCCACTATAATAACAATGTCACATATGTACTATATAACTCATTACATTAAAACATATATCCACTATAATAACAATGTCACATATGTACTATAAAACTCATTACATTTAAACAATCTAAAATGATATGTGTATGCAATATTTGTTTGTACTGATTGTGTAGGTACAATATAAACATATTCTGAATGGTTCATGTTTCTTTTAAAATACAGATACATGTATTTAATTAGTGTTATGAAAATATTAATTATTGTGACTATTGAACTATTTTAGAAAGGAGATATGTAATGTGCAGTCTTTGGAGACACAGTGTCAATATACAAGGGAAATTCCTTTGAAAAATATTTTATCTACAAATACAAAAGGTACATAATTATTATCTTCTTGATTCTCTTTAAACGGATAGTTACATAGTTACTTCTGTATTCATTTATAGGTGCTTCATATAGTTACATTAGCCGCGTACATAGAAAACAATAGTAAATGAAAAGGGTTGGGTTTTTTTTGGTTTTATTAGTTATCAAGATTTAGTTGTTGTCACTTTATTTCATCTTTTCATTACACAAACACATTTTAACTAACACATAAAAACTTTAATTTGAAAAAATAAATAAAATTTCATTTGGTTAGAAAATAAAATATACAAATAGGCCATGTGCTCATGTAAAATACTAAAAAGAAAAGTTCTAGCATTAGTGATAATTATCATCTAAAAAAAGAGAATTGAATGTAGATTAAACAGTATTTATGAGTCTTGACTGGTTACCTGATTCAGTATAGGGGTAACAGCATCATCTCTCCTATCAAGTATTAACAATATTGGAGCTACATCTGTCTTTCTAAATTCAAATAATGCTGCTTCTTTGTTTATGGTTTGCTGAAATAAAGATATATTTTATTTCAACAATGATAGGACTATAAATAAATGTGGATAGTGTCCACATGTGGACACAGATGATGCCCCCGATTGCATATCATATAGTTATAAAGGAACATAACTGAAGAACAGTAAAAGTGACGCTACCCAAATTTGAATTTGATCTGAGTTTTGTGGTCATAAGCAATGTGTATAAGTCTCATAACATTTGGTTGAGGCTAACTTAAGTAGAGAACAGAAACTAAAAATTCAGCAATTTTCTAATTTGTATTGATTGATTGTTGATTGTTGGTGTTTTAACGCCACTTTTAAGCGCCACATTTGGGCTATTTCGTTGCGGCCAGTTTTTATTGGTGGAGGAAGCCGTAGTGCCCGGAGAAAACCATGACCTTCGATAGGAAAACTGACAATCCTAGTCAATTAAGATTGGAGTAGAGTGCACCCACACGTGCGGGGTTCAAACTCGCAACCTCAGTGTTGACTGGCTAGTGATTACAGTAGTAACTACTTAGACCACTCGGCCACCGAGGCCCCTTCTATTTGTAAACACGCATAACTCTAGAACGGTTGTGTATAAGTTTTATAACATTTGGTTGAGACAAACAAAAGTTAGAGAATGGAAACGAAAAATTCAGCAATTTTTATGTTTATAAAGGGACATAACTCAAGAATGGTAAAAGTGTCGCCACCAAATTTCGTACTTAATCAGTATTATGTAGTAATAAGCATTGTGTATAAGTTTCATAAAATTTGGTTGAGGCAAACTAAAGTTAGAAAACGGAAACAAAAAATTTGTACTTGATCTTAGTTTTGTGATAATGAATATTGTGTATAGGTTTCATAATGTTTGGTTGGGGCAAACTTAAGTTACAGAATGAAAACTAAAAATTTTGCAATCTTTCAATTTATAAAGGGGCATAACTCAATAATGGTTAAAGTGACACTACCCAAATTCAACTTGATCTGTGTTTTATCAGTGGAAGTCAAAATTAAACATTGCATTGTATAAAGCATTGATTGTAGTTGATTTAACTATAATCATGGACAAAGGAAGATAACTCTAATTTTTTAAATTACTTGATATTTAGAAGAAAATAAAAATTTTGCAGTTTTTCCATTTATAAAGGAGCATAACTCTAGAACAATTAAAGTGACGCCACCAAAATTCAAAATTTGATCTGTGTTTTGTGGTAATAAGCATTGTGTATAAGTTTCATAACATTTGATTGAGGCAAACTAAAGTTAGAGAACAGAAATGAAAAATTCAACAATTTTTCCATTTGTAAAGGGGCATAACTCTAGACTGTAAAAGTGACGCCACCAAAATTCAGACTAGATCTGTGTTTTGTGGTAGTAAGCATTGTGTATAATTTTCATAACATTTGATTAAGGCAAACTAAAGTTAGAGAACTGAAACGATAAATTCAGCAATTTTTATACGACAGCAAAAATTAAAAATTTTTTGGTCGTATATTGTTCCATTTGTAAAGGGGCATAACTCTAGAATAGTAAAAGTGACGCCACCAAAATTTCGTACTTGATCAGTGTTTCTGTGGTAATTAGCATTGTGTATAAGTTTCATAACATTTGGTCAATCCACGAAAATTGGTGACCACATAAAAATAAATTGCTCCACAGTTACAAAACCATGAAATACTGGCAATTTTCCACAACTACTTCAAAGGGTTACACAAGGAGGTTAATGATTAATGCTGTACAATTAGATAAATATGAAATCTTAATAATTTTCCTACAAATCCCACAACATCTGAAATACAAACAAAATCGCAAGAATCTGATTATTAAGTGAAAAAAAAGGAGCAAATAGTTATCTTTTAGAATTACCCTGACACTCTCTGCAAGTCTTCTTGCTGTTTCTGAAGAATTCTGGTATCTTATCATTGGACATTTCTTCAGTGACAACAGTACTGATGTTAAACCCTGTGTACTTCTAGCTAGTGAATCTGTTGACCAATTCAGACCCTAAATCATAAAATATATAATGTTCTAATTAAGGTTTGGTTTTTCAAATAACAAAAGCATTTTGTGTAACCTGACATTTTAAAAAAATGTAAAATTTCCATGGAGTCTTTTTTATAGATTGGGAATCACAGTTCCCAAGTTTCTTATAAATTTTCAATGAGAAACTCTTAAACAATCGCAATCTGTCAGACTGAGTGCCTCTTTACAGTTCTGGAGTTGACTGCAGATGTTGTATCAATATAGTAGAACTGTTGACTATTCATAGAAATGGAACATCTTATAGATATTCCAGTATTATAAGCTACAAGGGCTTACATTATTTGTACTCTGATTACCTTAATCAATAAAACAGACCATCTTTATGCTTTAATTCTATAAATGATAGCTATTTTTGTGTTTCACAAAAATTAAATTAATGATCTTGATTTAAGACATAGACTCAAAATTGTTGATGACTGACAAGTGATTTTTACAATAGAATGAATTTATTTTTGTATAAACATATCAATATTTTAATTTTTTTGAAATGGAAGAATTCTTTAAGCATAAGTGTATTTAATTTGTTGTATTTCAACTACTGCCAACTTTTTCATATCGGTTTACCTGTAAATCTGTGCATTGCTTAGTGCTGACTGCTGAACCTGAAGATGCACAAGACTTCAGCAGCAAATCAGTGTTTTCTTAAAAACTATTATTTGCTTACCTGATATTTCATCTCAAAATATACATGTATACATTCTTCTTCCTAACTATAAAGACTTTTGAGTCAATTTTAAAATCAGCAAAAAATTCAATTTGTAATGCAATACAAACCTGACAACATCCATTTATATTTAAGGTAAATAAATGAGGACTGACAGCAACATAATCTCCAAAAAATTCCTGTAATACAACAATATACATATAAAGTGTAATTAAACTTCATTGTAAATCTCATAAATAAAGAGACATAATTTACAACCAGAAATTTGAGATTTTTTTATTTTTCCTACTTTGTGAGTTCATCTACTAAGTCCTTTGTGTTATGGATGTAAACTTTTTAATTTCAGTGAAACTTTGCTGATTCAAGTCTTATTATACCTTATTAGAGTTTTGATACTGTACAAAGGCACTTTAATCCTTACACTTTTTGTAATGGTCGCAAGCTGTAAATTTATGTTATGATGGAATAAACAGGATCTTTAAATGTAATCAAAGTAAACTACAATGATATATAGTTAGTGACCAGCTAAGTGCTACATATCATAGCAGATAGCTAAATAGTGTCATGATATGGCAAAACATCATGGCCATTGATTTGGCATTACAACTATATACTGTGAATTCATTTGTTTTTGTAGGGACCAATTTTTCATGGAATGATGAAAATTTCTATTTTCTTGGATATTTGATTACATGGTTTTGGCAAAGTCAGCATATATGCCTATACATAATGTGTACTCTGTTGAGCTTTAAATTAGTTGTTTACTCAAAAAAGTTGTTATAGTGACAAGTCTAATTCCACTATGCTACATGTATGATAGAAAAGAAAGGATATGGGGTATCCATCCATGACACAAAATCAGTTCATGCATAACAAAAAAAAAACACAAAAAGCAAAGGAACAGCGCTTTGATTGCTATTCTTTATCTCAAGGTCAGTGAGGCCTTCAACACAGAGCAATAGTGCTTTCATAAAAATTTGTTTATAAAATCATAATGTTGACCTTCTTTACCTGCACTTCCCTAACAACCTCTTGGTCATCTGCCTCTGCTAATACTTTGACATCTTGTTTGCTTATTACATTACTAAAATCTGAAACAATAAAAATTATAAACAACTTTTTCGGGAAAATGCAGGCTTATGAAAATACAATTGTAAAATTCAGTTATTTTTTGTCAAGAGCTGCAAATTCAAATATTTTTTTGCTCAGAAAAATAAGAAATCTTCAAAGTATATTTATTCAAATTCGATATTGGACTAATTGGAGGGAAAAATATTTTATCCTTTGCATTAAAAAATAACCAACATTCATATCAATAAATGAAAATTGATAGTTGTATATGTCATCACTTTCAACATCTTAAACATTGAAAGTCAATACAATGTACCGTAGTAATTAAACAGATTTTATACTTTTGTATCTTTTCCTTTTTCTATTCACTATGTTTATTATCTTGTTTTGGTTTTTTTTTCATATTACAATTTTTTCTATGATTACATCTTTCTTTATAGGCAAGCGATCTAATGACACTTGCTTGTACATTAATAGTACATTTCTAGCAAGCTGAAGCTTTGTCATACAAATGGTCAAATATTTAGAAAATCTTTCTAATGGGCATCATTCGACTTGGGAAAAAAATCCCACAATATTACTATATTAACATGATTTATGGATTTTATAGTAGAAATATTATTTTAGTTTGATTTTTCAACATTAAAAGATAGCTAAATGCTCAGAAAATTACTTTTTTCCAAGAAACATAAGAGGTTTCAAGTGTTATGTTGGACTAATTTTGACATTGAAACTGGCATATTTCTCATTTATATTTAAATCAAAGTAAACCAAACATGAATTTAATTATTTCAGCATTGGTTTTCATAAAGTTTGAAAAGATCAGCAACAGTGTCATAAATGAATGTACATGTAGATAGATACCTTGTAGAAGATTCAGGTTATAAATTATATGAGTACATGTATGAGGATAAATATCTTAAATAGCTGTGTTTATTCAAACTATTACTTGCAATATTACATGCACTGTTACTTACAAATATAATATAACCCATATTTAGACATTCTTAGTTCTTGTGCTAATAATTCTACATTTTCTTTGGTTGGTCTGACAAAAGCAATACATTTTAGGTGCTTCATGGTTTCTCTGCCTGCAGAGTCTATTCTTTCAAATAAGTATACTTCTTTCTGTAGGATTTCTGACTGTGCATAAACCATACTGACAATGCTGGTCTGTAAAAATCAAATACAAAAATGTAATAAGATTATTGTGACCAGATCACAGAATTAGCTCAATGTACATTGGAAAAGAAATATCCATGAAACATTTCACATAAACATGATAAATTGCATTTTTTGACACTTTATAGAGGGGAACATGTATGTTTGACATAGCATTATATTACATTATTCATGTTCTTCTTTATCTATGAGAGGAGAGGTAATGTCAATGAGATATCATCAATTCAAAAACACCCCCCCCCCCAAAAAAAAAAAGAAGAAGAAATAATCTATATCTAGGTCAACACATAGCTTTCACAATAGACAAGTTTCACACCATTTGTCAACTCTGGACAAAATAGTAATTTGTACTTTTGAAAATTGACTTATTTGTAATCATCATGGTCTTTTATCGAGGGTATTTTGTTAATAAATCTTTTACTTCTTAATTTCTTGAAAAAAATTATATTTCAGACATGTCAGATTGCAAATGGAAGGGAAGTGAAAAAAAATGTTTGATTGAAAATTAGTATAAAAAAAAAGTTCTATATTGTATATTGTGTTTAAAAAAAATCTAAGTCCTGTATGTTATTGAAAAATAAATGTGGATAGTGTCCACATGTGGACACAGATGATGCCCCTGCTTGCATATCATATAGTTATAAAGGGACGTAACTGAAGAATGGTATAAGTGACGCTACCCAAATTTCGTACTTAATCTGAGTTTTGTGGTAATAAGCATTGTGTGTACGTCTCATAACATTTGGTTGAGGCAAACTAAAGTTAGAAAACGGAAATAAAAAGTTTGTACTTGATCTTAGTTTTGTGGTAATGAATATTGTGTATAGGTTTCATAATGTTTGGTTGGGGCAAACTTAAGTTACAGAATGGAAACTAAAAATTTTGCAATCTTTCGATTTATAAAGGGGCATAACTCAATAATGGTTAAAGTGATACTACCCAAATTAAACTTGATCTGTGTTTTATCAGTGGAAGTCAAAATTAAACATTGCATTGTATAAAGCATTGATTGTAGTTGATTCAATTGGACGTACGTATGTACAGACTGACAAGGGTAAAACTTAATGCCCCCACCGCTACAGCGGGGGCATAAAAAGATGTTTTTATTAAAGTAAAATAAAGGTTTGTCCAAAGAAAGATTTTAACCTCACTTGTAAGCTATTGAAGAAATTTACATCAACTTTCCTTTAATAATTTTTTTTCAGATAAAGAAAAGGAAACAGAACATTTGTTTAATAAACAATAATTTCCACATGTTCCAATTTTGATTTCCTTTTACATGTTAATATAAATAATCAACACTTTCGATGACAGTTTCAAATGAAGTTTTCCATTTTTTAAATTCTATTTTCCGTTGGTTTTTAGTTTTTGTTGTCTACATGTATCTATCTTTACAGTTTCTACCTTTCATTTTATATAACAAACCATTGAAAGTTTATAAGTATATTTTTTTTTTCTGTAAAATTTATAACAAAGATAAATTTCAAATTGTCTAAGGAGATTGATTGAAAAACTTAAAAGAATCAATTAAAATTAGAAGTGGTTCTTTTGTTATTGAAAGTTAAAATATTTTCTGTTGCTGAGTTGAGAGCTTATAAAAATTTACACTTTTGTAATGGGATGGTGGTGTTATCAGTTTAATTTTTATTAGTATCTAATCAGATGAGAAATGGAGATACAGGACAATACATTTTTCAAAGTTTTTTTCTGTATATATTAACACCTTATAATTTTAAAGTTCTTTCAACATGTTCAATGCCCGAATTTTCTTTTTATTTCGACACTAAAAATATTTTTTTCCTACTACTTAACATACAATAAATTGTTTAAAATTCCTCAAACAATTCTTTGCATGTATACATGTACATGTATATTATTCTTATTTGTAGCTTTAAAAAATTATTTGTAATTTTAGAAACAATTAAATAGGAAAAACATATTTAATACCAAACATTGTCAAAGTGATCATAATTGACAGATGAATACAAAAAACATAGAACAATTAAAATTGAAATTAATGACAATTGCTGTGACTAAGAACATTAAGATGCTTATACATGTAACTTAAGTTAACTGATCTTAACTGTAATAAACAATTTATTCAATTTTGTTAATTTATTTCTAACATGTATCTAAAAGTCATGTCATCTTATATCTTAATATAATGCTTCTATGATTGTATAATACACAATCACAAAAAACAACAATAATGGATTAAATTTCAAACCCGTATTGACTATTGAAGAGTATTGTGATCACGAATTTCAAGTGATCTGCAAAGTGACATCAATTTTGTGAGATCATGACCTTCTGGCTGAGGGTTATTTTTATACATGTAGGTCCTATATTTTGTTCCCATCATATTAACCCGAATAATTCAGTCGTTATATTCCACTGCTCTACGATGGCTACATTGGGAGAGTCGATCACGGGGAGGGACTGAATTATTCGGGTTACCATCATATAAAAATATCCTACTAAAATTATAACTCCTGTGATCTGTCCGCATTTTTTTCGTTTGAAGTACTCACAGTGTCTTTATCCATCAACAAAACTTTCATTCCAGGCCCACTGTCTTCAATCATTTTACTGATATACTGCTTTATAGCTAAAATAACATTCATTTTCTCTGTTTATACAGTCACCAAAAAATGAAAAATTTTGACAGTTTAGACAATTTGTAAACCGGAAGCTGAAAATCAAATCTAAAATACAAATTGATCGGTTGAGATCTGAGAATCCGGAATTGAAATGTGTTGGTACAATCACGGTGAGTAGCTCTGGTAAATCTTCAGAGAAAAGTCCAAATATGTTGATGCACTAAAAGGTATTCTACACAAAAGGAGCATTGGCACTTTGTTAGATGAACAGATATCAGTGAATGAAGAAAAGCAGTAAAAAAAGGGGATCCTTTACAAATAACAGTCATAACAAAGTGATATATTATGATAACCCAAGAATTTTTATGTACTATAAACATCCTTAGATTAACTGTTCTTGATACTCTTTCAGCCTTGTTTACACATTTTGGCTGTGTACAACCTCTTAGATATTGTTTAAGGCAAACAGACCTTTATAAAGACATGAAAGAGGGGTATATATGGGGCATGAAGGGGTCTCATCGTGAATGCTTTTCACAGATGATATCGGATATGTTCCTTATGTCGTAACTACAATACCCTTCCCTTTTCACAAATGTGACCTACCGAATTAGACTATTTACCAGATTTGTAATAACATAAGCAACACGACGGGTGCCACATGTGGAGCAGGATCTGCTTACCCTTCCGGAGCATCAGAGATATTTTTGGCCATGGCGTTATCAGTTTGTTTTCGATCTATGAGTTTGACTGTCCCTCTGGTATCTTTCGTCCCTCCTTTAGACATGTTAGAAAATAAATGCCAAATCCTTATTTCAATTTCTGTGAAAACAATGTGACTGTTCCCGCATCATGATATAATTTAATCCCCAATTCAGAATTCCTATGATTTAACTGGGTATTCCAGAATATTACTGTATGATGCCTGTGTATTAAATAGTTAAATCCCGCATTCTGGTCAAAAGATTCTTGAGACTGCCCCTTCTTAAAGTTTTTAAGTTTGCAGCAATATCATATTTTTTATATGTGTCGCATATGCTTCAGATATCATAATTGTAACATCGCCTGCACTTAATAATGACCTGAGCACCCTAGACCACTCGATTCATAGCTTTCCTTAGTCGTGTAATTCCTTTCCTAAAAGTATATATAGCTTATGGTGTCTATGCCCTGTATAACCACAAGTTATCCGGTGGAGAACATCTTTAGTAAATTTGTCACATGTTTAGACATATTTATACATACAGCATGTTTGTAGGTATGATAGCTAGGAATAACTTGCAGACCTGCCAACTATCCAGATTTATGGGGTTGGGGGATATCCCCCATGAAAGGTGTTGACCTGAAGTTTGAAATTCTTTATTATATAAAGTGAACACCTCAGAACAGACATTCAAGTAGTAGATTAAAAACACTTATGACATGTATGACAATATAAAAGGAGCATTAGGTCCTCTTGTGCTGAAAATCCCCCATCATCATGATCATTCCCATGGAGATTTTGAAAAGTTGGCAGACCTGTATGATTACATGACTAATTCTCAATAAAAACTATTTTTTACGTTCATGAATAGAAAGAAATAAGTCTTTAAAAAATTGAAAATCAAACTTTTTGCTTAAAAAGAACATGCCCAGTTTTTGCCCCCCCCCCCCCCCAAACCACCATGCCAAAAGGATATTACCAAAAATGGACTAAACAGTAAAGGTTATAATTTCAAAGACAAATAAAAGAAGACTATATATAGCTATAACACGTAATTAAGATGATAAACAACGTCAGTACCTAGAATCTATACTTCCAAGGCCATCATGTATTATTTGTAAAGTTGATACGGAATATTTATCAACAGCGTCTTGGTATCTTCCGATGAACTTTTTTAGAAAAGGAATTGGTGTCCACGAAAAATAGATAATTCCACAGTAAACAAAGAACATTAACATCCTCTACCATGTCTGCAATAGAAATTTTTGATACTATGTTTAATTTATGTCTTTTCAGGTGATTTTGTTGTTTAAAGAAATAAAGAGAATATACAGCAATGGTATTAACAAAGAGTTTCTATAGTCCTTTTAAACATTTGAATAGGTGGAATATATTAAGATGTTTTCATGTATCACGGTCAGTTAATTGTGTAAGAGTAAGATTTGCTCCCTCGCCTACTGGTCAACTTCATCTTGGATCATTACGAACTGCATTATACAATTTTTTATATGCAAAGGCTAACAATGGCAAATTTATTCTAAGAATTGAGGACACTGACCAGACAAGAAAAGTGCCAGGGGCTGTTGAAAACTTGTGTAATATTCTTCAGTGGGCTTCTGTTCATCCAGATGAAGGTCCATTTTCGGGTGGAGATTATGGACCATATGTACAGTCAGAAAGGCTTCATTTGTACCAAAAATATATTGAGACTCTGCTGCAGAATGGTACTGCTTACAAATGCTTTTGCAGCCAAAAACGTTTAGATTTGCTCAGAAAAGAAGCATTGAGAAATCGGGAAACTCCTAGATATGATGGCAGGTGTCGCCATCTATCAGATGAAGAGAGGCAAGACAAACTGCAGAAAGGTATACCATATGTAGTAAGATTAAAACTAGTACAACTTGCTGAACCTTTTGATGATTTGGTATATGGACCTATAGAAATTGATTTAACTGAAAACGAGGGTGATCCAGTCTTGATGAAAACGGACAATTATCCAACTTACCATTTTGCAAATGTTGTTGATGACTATCTTATGAAAATCACTCATGTTTTAAGAGGAGTAGAGTGGCAACTATCAACTCCAAAACATTTAATGATATACCAAGCATTTGGTTGGACACCACCGAAATACGCTCACTTACCGCTTATAATGAATAATGATGGGACAAAATTATCTAAACGCCAGGGAGATATTCATGTTGAACATTTTATGAAGTTGGGATATTATTCAGAAGCATTATTAAACTATATAACTCTTCCAGGAGGTGGATTCACAAAGACAGATAGCGAAGTTCTGAAACTTGATGAGTTGGTAAAAAATTTCAATTTAAGTACAGTGAAGAGAACATCTGGTAGACTAGATCCAGCACATTTGGATAGGCTTAATCAGATGTTTATTCAGAGAAAAATCGCAGATGGAGCAATAAATGAACTAACTGAAAAAATTAGAAAAATCATTATTAGTAAGTATTCTGGAAATCTTTCATTGGATTTACAACTAGATGATTTGTCAACTGAATACTTGAAGCAGATCCTTTGTTGGTGTCAAAACAGAATAAGCCGACTGGATGAACTAGCTGGCAGTGATTTTGAGTTCCTATGGTTAAAGCCTGATAAGATTGATATTTCAAATATAGATATTTCTAATCCTTTGGAAGTTTTACAATCATGTATAGAATGTGTTAGAAATATGGACACATTTGATGAATCCAGTGTTGGATCAGAAATGAGAAAGAATGCTAAAAATATGAATGTGAAATTTGCTCCATACATGAAATTTTTAAGAATGTGTTTATCAGGATTGAAGGAAGGTCCATCTGTTGGAGAGATTATGACAGTACTTGGAAAATCAAAAACTTTAGAGAGACTTAAACATGCAAGTTGTATTTGTGAAGAGAAGGAATCAGCAAGAAGCAGAACTGAAAACTAATTCTACTGGTTTGCTCAGTGAATGTTTAAAGAGTAACTGTACTTTCAGAAATAATTTTGTTGACAATTTTACAATTCTAATGATTAACACATGTAACAGTCCAAATAGGTAATGCACACAAATGATTAAAATCAAGTAAATTTGAGCCTTCTCTATTGATCAACTAGCTGTCTTTGGAGATTTTTGTATGTCTTTCCAGAAGGGGCATAAGCTGTTAAAATAAATTTTGAGGGCAAGGATTAAGTCAATATATATACATAGCTACCTAATAAGTTCTGAGCTTTCCTTAACTTCATCTATATTATCCAGTATAAAAATGCAATAAGATTACCATTGAGACAACTATCCCCCAGCATTGACTAGAGGACAATGACTGTATAATGTCAACATTGAGTTTTCAAGATAAGGTTATCTTATACTGCTATCAAACCTGGGCATGCTGGGTGACAAATTTATAATCGTTGTGCTTCCCCTCAAAGAACCATGATATGCACGAAAATGAGATACTTCTGAATCTGTCGCTGTTTATTGTAGTTTCGGCACATTTTCGAAAATTCAGTTATGATTTGCAGTACATATTTAAATGAAAAGTTTGATGTCATAATTTTCTGCTAATCTACTGTTCATTAAATGCAACACGACCGGTGCCACATGTGGAGCAGGATCTGCTTACCCTTCCGTTTGTTAGATAACCTGGTAGGAAACTATGTGTATGAAAAGGACATGTTATATGGTAAATAGTTGTCTCATCTGCAATAGTGCTACATGTTCTGTGGTGTTCTGGAAGGGAAAGAAGATCCTGCTCAACATGTGGCACCCGTCGTGTTGCATTTAATGAACAGTAGATTAGCAGAAAATTATGACATCAATTATGAGTGCATTGCATAAACATTTCAATATAAAAATATGAGAAGTGGTACATGTATTACTGCAAATGAGACGATGATCTACCATAAGTCAAAACACTACCATAGAAACCTGCAGCAAGATTGCTCATTAGTCAACTATCTACCATATAACGTGGCAAGATTGCCAATGAGACAATTATCCACCATATAACATGTGGCAAGATTGCCAAGAGACAACTATCTACCATATAACATGTGGCATGATTGCCAACGAGACAACTATCTACCATATCTAACACAGAATATGGGGCATGATGGCCAATGAGACAACTATCTACCATATAACATGTAGCATGATTGCCAGACAAACTGTCTTCAAGAGAAAAAGTGGCATCATTATCATTGCCTCCAATGAGAAAACTATCAATCATATAACACGTTTCATCACTGCCAATGAGTCCACACTCTATCATATAACATGTGGCAAGATTGCCAATGAGACAACTATCTACAATAGAATATGTGGCATTATTGCCTATGAGACAACTATCATATAACATGTGGCAAGAATGCCTATGAGACAACTATCTACAATAGAACATGTGGCATTATTGCTGATGAGACAACTATCCAGCATATAACATGTGGCAAGATTTCTAATTAGACAACTATCTACCATATAACATGTCCCATGATTGCTAATGAGTCAACACTACAATAGAACCTGCAGCAAGATTGCTAATTAGTCAAAAATCTACCATTCAACATGGCATGATTACCGATGAAACTTCTATCTACCAAAGGACATGTGGTGTGATTGCCATTGCCACCAATGAGGCAACAATCAATCATATAACATGTTGCATGACTGCCAATAAGTCAACACTCTACCATATAACATGTGACAAGATTGCTGATGAAGCAACTATCTACCACAGAACATGTAGCACTATTGCAGATGAGACAACTATCTACCATATAACATATGGCAAAATTGTCAATGAGACAATTATATGCTATAGAGCATATGACAAGACTGCTAATTAGACAACCATCTACCATATAACACGTGGCATGATTGCCAATGAGTCAAAACACTACCATAGAAACCTGCAGCAAGATTGCTCATTAGTCAACTATCTACCATAAAACGTGGCATAATTATCGATGAGACAACTATATACCATATAAAGTGGCATGATTAACGATGATATAAATATCTACCACAGAACAAGGATGTAAACAATTGAAGTTTATTGTGGGGACATCATCTTTGCCTGGTTCAACTTAAGACACATGCCATATAAAGTAGTCACTTTTACTCCTAGCTGTTTGACACTGGCAACTTGGATTTTGAGTTCATACAACTGTGTTGGTTGCTTTTCAGACAATGCTTTTATGGGTCACATTATGCATGTTATGTGTACAAGATAACATAACCTGAATAGTATATATGTTGTGAATTAGATACTCAATATTCACATTCAGATACCAGTTATGGAGGATGATGGTACTAGAATATTATGAATTACTGTAAATTCAGAAATTATTGCGAGGATTTTATTATTGCGAATAATGCGAGTGGGTGAGTATGGCAATAATAAGAACTCGCATTCTGATATATGATGCATATATCTGTATGCCACTTTTCCTGAACTCGCAATAATTAATCTCGCATTTATGTCCATTCTTCAAAAACCGCAATAATAAATGCATGCAATAATTTCTGAATTTACAGTATTTGTATTTGTTGAGGCAAACTTAAATAAAAAGACAAAAGTAGAAAGATTTATTGCATAAAAAAATCATTGACACTGGAATACACTGAGACATTTACATTATTGCGAACCCAATGAAAGTTTTCCACAGTGCCATCTCTATCTTGACCAGGTATTTAAACTTTTGTAAGTTCACCTGTCCTATTGAATAAATACAATAGCTATTGTTCTCCATGTAGTTTTTTCACTGGGACCTTTAAATTTCTTCTAAGAGAAATCTATCACTCATTGATTAATTTACCTGAGTAAAAAAAAAATCTTGTAAATAGAGGAAAATAGATATAGGAAGATGTGGTATGAGTGCCAATGAGACAACTCCCCATCCAAGTTTTATACTCAAAACTGCATGTGATGTTATATTTATTCAATATTGATAATATATTTTCAATCGGTTGAATGGAAACAGTGATGCAAAGTTGAAACATTAATAAAATATAAAAAAGAAGATGTGGTATGATTGCCAATGAGACATCTCTCCACAAGAGACCAAATGACACAGAAATTAACAACTATAGGTCTCTGTACGGCCTTCAACAATGAGCAAAGCCCATACAGCACAGTCAGCTATAAAAGACCCCGAAATGACAATGTAAAACAATTCAAACGAGAAAACTAACCGCCTAATTTATGTACAAAAAATGAACGAAAAACAAATATGTAACACATAAACAAACAACAACCACTGAATTACAGGCTCCTGACTTGGGACAGGCACATACATACAGAATGTGGCGGGTTAAACATGTTAGCGTTGATTTATGTTATATTAATAATATATTTATAATATATTTTCATTCAGTTTAATATAAACATTGATTCAATCATAAAAAGTTGATTTCTGACAAAACTTTCAACATTGTTCCTTTTAAAAAAAAATTTGTTTGACATGAATAAAAACTTGAAAATTATGATGTTCAAATTAAGATCTTCTTAAATGTATTCTATAACTAGACAAAAAAAAATCAAATTTCAATAGGAACATTGACAAAACTTTTTTTTGAAATCAACTTTTTATGATTGAATCAATGTTTATATTAAACTGAATGAAAATATATTATTAATATTGAATAAATACATCATCACACGCAGTTAATGAGTATAAAAAAGTATTTTTGTCTATATATAAGAAATTTTTTTTACTCAGGAAAATTAATCAATGAGTGATAGATTTCTCTTAGAAGAAATTTATAGGTCCCAGTGAATAAACTACACAGAGAAAAATAGCTATTGTATTCATTCAATAGGACAGGTGAACTTACAAAAGTTTAAATACCTGGTCAAGATAGAGATGGCACTGTGGAAAACTTCCATTGGGTTCGCAATAACACATTTGATGGTTTTAGTAAATTAAGTGTGTCATATTTAGCAATAATCATGCATCAAAGCATAAAAAATTTTCATCTTAGTTCTTAAGGAAGTTTTAAATAAACAGGTTATTGTTGCAGGCATAGCGTAAAAAACACTGGTCCTTTTGATTGCATATGACACCTAGAAGGCACATTAATGACTGACTATTTTGATACTTTGAAAGGAATCTATAATAGACATAAAACATTCAATGCTTTTAAATGTCTTTGTTGGAAATTTTAAAACATATCAGTTAAATCATATGAATAATAACTGTCTTATTAATAAATCACACTAATTAATATAAAATACTACTACTGCTAATACAACTTCAAATTTGTGCTACTTTTTTATTTTTATTTTCATGGACAATTTTTAATCCTAACTAAAAGCAAATTTTTTATTCATTTAATAATCAAACTAGAGGCTCTCAAGAGCCTGTGTCGCTCACCTGACTCTTCTTTGGTTTTAGAAATCATGTAAAGATAGATAAAAATCATAACAGATATCCAAATAATGATTGAGGCCAAATTTTGATTAATATTGGTCCCGTTATTTAATAAAATATCCTGGTGGCCATCTTGAACAGTAAATCGTTAACAAAGTAGCAACACTTGGTCAGCACTTCATAAGGAACATTCATGCCATGTTTGGTTTCATTCCATTCAGTGGTACTCTAAAAGAAGACATTTGTATGTATTTCCCATAGGGTCCTATGTTAAACTAAGCCCCCCCCCCTAGCGGCCATCTTGGATGATGGATCGACTGCAAAGTAACAACACTTGGTCAGCACCTCATAAGGAACATTCATGCCATGTTTGGTTCCATTCCATTTATTGGTTCTCTAAAAGAAGACATTTTTATGTATTTCCCAAAGGGTCCTATGTAAAACTAAGTCCCCCGCTGGCGGCCATCTTGGATGATGGATCGGCTATAAAGTAACAACACTTGGTCAGCATCTCATAAGGAAGATTCATGCCATGTTTGGTTTCATTCCATTCAGTGGTTCTCTAAAAGAAGACCTTTGTATGTATTTCCCATAGGTCCTTTGTTAAACTAAGTCCCCTGCTGTCAGCCATCTTGGATGATGGACCGACTGCAAAGTAACAACACTTGGTCAGCACCTCATAAGGAACATTCATGCCATGTTTGGTTTCATTCCATTCAGTGGT